CGGCCGAGCATTATCATGCTGGAACTGTAGACCTGGGCCATGAGCCGCCATGAAAGGAACGAGTTCAGGGGGTGAGCACCTGGTCGCGGTAAGCAGCAGCTGTGAGGTTTCCACGGATGACCAGAAGTCGGGAACGGTTGTTCCCACAGAAAGCACCCCACACCATGCAACTTCCGCCCCCGAATCTGTCGACTTCTTGTACACAGCATTGGGCATACCGTTCACGACGTCGTCTCCAGACTCTATGCCTGCCGTCCGCGAATCTGAGGGTAAACCTGGATTCATCGCTAAAGACGACTCGATTCCAGTCTCTCTGGGTCCATCGGAGGTGACGTTGGGCCCACAGCAGACGTTGACGTTGATGGAACGGCGTCAATATTGGCCCACGATATGGGCGTCGAGAATGGAGATTGGCAGCCCACAACCGATTTCGAATGGTCTTTGAGGACAGTCGACCTCTAAACATCTCAGCCCTGGTTCGTGTAGCCGGCAGAAATCTGTCACGTAGGTGACGTAGGACGATTTGACGGTCTTCTGCTCGTGACATCACAAGTGGACGACCCGACCTTGGGCGATCAGAAGTGGTGCCAGTTTGTTGTAGACGACCTCGCAAGTCATACACAGTACGACGGCTGCATCCCATTGCTCTTGCGACGTCAATAGCTGATCTTGCCGCTTGCAACATGCCAACGGCACGTTCACGTTGCACATTTGACAATCGTGGCATTTCAAGTACCGTTAGAACTGTGGTATAAAAGTGTTTTTTCAATTCTTGTGACCAATGCAAACACGTGCATATGAAGAAAACTTCGATGCGAAGATCACGTGATCGACTGCACGTGCAGAACCTGATTTGGCACTAACGTCATTTGCACGACGAATGGATCGGTTTGAGTGGGTTTTGCTAACGTTTTTAGGGATCCCATTTCGGATACATAGATGTATCATCAGAGAAAAAATATTCATTATTTTTCAAATTACATTTTGTGAAGTTTCTTTTTTGATTCAGTATATGAATCGCAGAAGAACTGGGTTCAAAACTTGTATGGCAGCATGGCAGTAAGATTCCCTTCACCGACAGTCAGTTTAGATCGACCACTGGCACAAAAGTCTCCAAAAATCCCATTTCGGTCCACCCTACGCACACAAAGCTCTGAGTGACGTTCCCCTCTTCTGCGCCACACCCGCATCCTGCCATTGGGAAATGGGAACGTCGTGACTCGACTCTTCCTCTGGTTGAATCTGACATAATTTTGGTACCAAGTAACAAAGATTCTAACCTTTGCGGTATTACATCCACGTTTCAGTTCCAGGATATATCTTGCAAAACGCCTTCTGGGTAAACATACCAAAGATGGATCAATGTGATTTGTTGAAAAACGTTGTTAAATGTGACTGCGTCCAGTTTAAACTCTTATCAAGCATCTTTTTCATAATCTCAGGTTTTCAAATGAAATAATTTCGGATCTAACACTATGAAAAAAACAGCAAATCTGAAAAATATACTCATATCATGAACTGATGATAATCTCCCAGATAAAGCAGTAAAACCTCTGCCCTACTAGAACCGTTCTTTGATATGGATTCACGTCGCAACAAGCAATCTTCTCGTTTGTTGACCGTGTGGCAAGCTTGTCCCTGGAGGTCTTACGAATGTAGGTCCCTACTGAAGTACGACCACCGACCGTGCCCTGGGATACGGGATTACAATGGCCCGAAAGGCGGTCATGATATCATGCCATGGACACCGAGGAATGTAGGGCAGTCGTAAGTCTCAGAGTCGGTACTCTTGGTATGATATGAAGGTCATGTCGTGCTATCTAATCATTTGGGCTACTTAGTGAAAACACCATTGACAACACCATTTCAACCCTATCACGGGAGGTAGCTTGTGACAGATATTGTGAGTCGGTATATGTATCGACATGTGCATAAAGTTACATATGTGCAAAAATGGGCGCTGGCGACGACGGTTGTAAATACCCATGCTAATGTATACCGAGAGAAACAAATAAAGAATCACAGGATAATTCAAGCGTTCCTTTATAATTTTCCAGTTTTCATCACCACAGCGCTATTCAAAGCTGGTGATGAAAACTGGAAAATATTAAAGGAACGCTTGAATTTTCCTGTGACCCTTTAATTGTTTCCCTCGGTATATATATAAAATAACGTTATATTGAAATCCATTTACGTATTAACTCAGATAATGTTCTTATCGGCGTAACAAAGAACACAGTTTGAAGGAAGTCCATTTTACCTCATCAGCTCTTTCAAAGGGGAACAGTGGTTAAAGCGTTCGCTCATCATAACGAAGACCAGGGTTCAATTCCCCACATGGGCACAATGAGTGAAGCCCATTTCTGATGCCCCCCTCCGTGATTATTGCTGGAATGTTGCTAAAGGCGGCGTAAAACTAAACTCATTCACGCACTCTTTCAAAAGGTAATTCTATCGACATCTTTATTCATGAAGAATGTAGGCCTCCGGCCCATGTTCATACATACATGTGATCAGTCAGCATATAATGTATATGACAATATATAGAGAGAGAGAGAAAAAGAGAGAATAATAATTAATCAGCAGGTTATTCTGAAACAGTTTGCATAATGGATATACATGGCCAGCTTTCTAACGACTTTAACATCAGTTGATCCCAAAAGCATGTCTAATTTATTATGTGTAGGGTATGATATAAATTTAGTAGATATATACCTCTCACGCAGTGTTTTATACCGAACACAAACCATCAAAAAATGATACTCATCTTCGATGTAGCCTTCATTACACACAGTGTACAGCCTTTTATTTACAGGAGTATTAACATATCTGCCTGTTTCTATTTTGACTCCATGGGAACTGCAACGAAAGTGTGCCATGGCCACGCAGAATTTTGCAATTGTTAGTCGTTTGAGATATAACTCCATTCCAAAGGTATAATTTCTAGTTTTAGAACTGCTGAAAACAGAGGAGTGCCAGTCCTGTTCAAACGAACATTTTAATCTTGCCATAACTTCCGCAATAAAGGATTCTTTACTAGTGATTGTTTGTGACTCCCATATATAGCCAAATCCAAGTCGAAACAATAAGTACTTCAGTTTGGAAACCCAATTATTTTTACCATTATTAGCTGCAAAGGGTATCTGCCACATTTACCCAGTTCTCTGCAAGTTGGTGTCGATGTCTTTCAAAAGGTAAGCTACAGTACCTTCCACCAATACAGTGGACTCCTTCTAATCCGACATTCCCTGTAAACCGACATATTCATTTGGTACCGAATTTGTCCTTATACAATAAACATGTATGACCTTTCATCCCTGACAAAACACTTCACATTACTTTGTCTCACCTAACCTCTGTCTACTCTGGTGTAAGTCTATGAGATATATCCGTGTTGAGACCTGTCGACCGCGTTATGAATTGACCAAGCGATCACGTGATACCGGTGTTAATAGACCCATTGAAACATCACGTGAAACTTACATGTGCCGGGGTCAAGTTAGATGGTACGTTGTTTAAATACCCAAAAATACGGGCCAGTGTTCCTCAATATTACATATGTTACCTTGGCTGGGACCATCTCGGGAGATTGAACTTAAGTGTTTTGAAATATACTTACATTTGTTCCATGGGCTTACTTTATCACAGTCCAATACATGTAACTTACAAACCATACAAAAACGAATAATTATATATCTCAGTTTATTATATAAACAAACTACAATGTACTTGTGAGTGAGTGAGTGAGTTTGATTTTACGCCGCTTTTAGCAATATTCCAGCAATATCACCAGCGGGGGACACCAGAAATGGGCTTCACACAATGTACTTGTGAACATAGAAGAAAATAACTGTAAACAACGGAAGTGTAATTAGTACACTGTATGTGAGCACTATATTTGTGAGTTTGGATGAGAGTGAGTGAATATGATTTTACGCCGCTTTAGCAATGTTCCAGCAACATTATGTTGGGGGACCCGATGGGTTTCCAGCATTGCACCCATGTGGGGAATCGAACGTCTTCGGCGAACTCAACCACCAGGCTACCCTACGGCCCTAATTCGTATGAGAGTGATGTGATGTATAACATATACCCGAGTACCTGACAAGAAGGAATACAAAATGTTCTGTGTGATCTTTAGTCGAAGCATTGTTCCAAGATTAGTAAAGTCCTCTCTACTTCGTACTACTTAGCTACATTCTAAAACAGCATTTGAATAAGCTGCGTAATCGTTCCGCTAAACTTTTACTACTGGTCTGAGTAAGTAGGCAATCAACCGATGCATAGGTACGGCTTCGTTGCTACATATCCATAAGATTACTGATATCAGGCGTTACAACAAAGGTGACTGTACATGGCGTTACAAAGTTAATTTTGCGCGGCGTTATAATGACAAACATCATAGACCAACTCCTTAAGACTTCAAGAGTTAGGCTCATGTCATGCATGGCTTACCTGTGGTCACAACTGGACGGACAAAACAGGTAAGATCAAAGTCAAATTATGGAAAATTATCATCAAAAGGGGAGATACACGAAAGGAAGACGCCCTTTCCTTGATCAACGGAGTAGAGTCCGTTGTACGATTCCGTTTTCACCACGGGCACCTGTATGGGTTTATCAGTCACTACAGTCCATCTCCTAGCACCACGGACCCGTGAAGATCCGGGTTAGAATTGGCCTTCAGTAACCAATGCTTGTCGTAAGAGGCGACTAACAGGATCGGGTGGTCGGGCTCGCTGACTTGGTTGACACATGTCATCGTAGCCCAGTTGCGTAGATCGAGGCTCATGCTCTTGATCACTGGATTGTCTGGTCAAGACTCGATATTTACAGACCGCCGCCATATAGCTGGAATATTGCTGAATTTGGCGTTAAACAGCAAACAAACCAAATCCTAGCACCACGTCAGTCTTGTCTCCGATTGTCTAACACGGACCAGATAGTCGTACCGCTAAAATGGCTTTGGTGAACGGGGCCCTGATCATTAAATAAACTGACCTTCTGCCGTCGTGGCTGGAGTCTGGGTGTGGGAGCTGGTGTTGGAGGTGTTGGAGATGTTGGAGGAGGTGTTGGGTGTAACCGGCAATTTGAAGGCGAACAGGAGATAGTGGATAAGTATTGGGCACATCTCGTAGAAGTCAGGAATGGTGAGGGAGTTGTTGGCCGTCCCTAGCATCATCTCCAGCAGGACTGAGGCGTTCCACACCTTCAACATTACTGATACATCATTCGCCATGTTTACAGCGCTGTGTTCCGGTTATAACAGACATCTGTGAGCGAGGTACAGAAATGCTCACATGGCATAAAGGCATGGACGCATGTTTCTGACCTCCAAAGGAAATCCGTGCGTATATTGTTTAAATTCTGTAAACCACGTCACACTTCTAAAATAGTATTGGTCACTTCTCCCCGTGAATACATTGAGGGTTAGACCTGGGTCCCGATCAACAAAGCGTTCGTAACGTTACGACCTGTCGTAACTCTATAGTTTATCATAGGCTTACGAATGCCGTAGCCCTACGAACGCTTTGTGGATCTGGAAACAAGTCCACAACAAACTATATGCTTGTCGTAGAAAGGGACTGTTTGGATCGGGGGTTCCGACTTCGACTTGGCTGACTCGGTGTGACCATAATGGCGGAGATCGAAGCTAATAATATCATGTTGTATACGTAATATTAGTGGAGATCGAAGCTAATAATATCATGTTGTATATGTAATATTAGTGGAGATCGAAGCTAATAATATCATGTTGTATATGTAATATTAGTGGAGATCGAAGCTAATAATATCATGTTGTATATGTAATATTAGTGTAATATTATGTAATATTAGTGGAGGTTGAAGCAGTTGAAAATGTACATTTTTGTAATTGGAAGCGAGTGACTGAACTGCCAGCAAAACATACCATCTGCTGACGTGACCGGATTTAACAGCGGTCTGAACTTTCCATTGCCCATGTACATACGACCATGACAGTCATGTTGAATTTTCGGATGAAAGAGTTTAAAAGGCTCCGGTACCAATAAAACAGGTACATAGGGGCCTTTCCGCCTAGCTTATAATTTACTTGCCCATAGTACAGTTTCCTTACATATTTGGAGACACCGAAATCCCAACGTCAACACTCTTCTGGATTTAAGGTCTATTTCATGTCAGTGAACAGTGACAATACTGTAAACATCCGTGAGTGCATAACATTAATTTCAGGACTTGTTACTTTTGCTGCGAGCCACTTATATGATCAGTCGTATTGCCCTTTTGATTGTGAACCTAAAACTGTATGTCTGAATATAGTTTACTGATCATTCATTCACATTAATAGATTCCACAAATTTGTTCTATGCGAACCGATTTATGGGTTCTGCGTTTCCATTTTGAAAATCACGTAATAACTGTATTCATTTGTCTGATCAAGACTCGATTGGGGCGGTGGGAAAGCCAAGATGTTAAAGCCTTCGCTCGTCACGCCGAAGACCCGGGTTCGATTCCCAACAGGGGTACAATGTGTGAAGACGTTTCTGGTGTCCCCATATTTCTAAAGCGGCGTAAAACTCAACTCACTCAAGATTCAATTATATAAGAAACGCCATTATATAGCTGAAATTATGCCGGTGCTCCGTAGAGAAATATGCAAACAAGCGAAAGATTATAATTTCATACTTACATGGTCAGGGGAATGGTAGTTGGGATAGGACGGGAGGAAATGATGGCTGTCTGAAGGCAACATGATCCAGGTCCTCTTGGATCTAGGCTTCTCCTTGTACTTGTCTGTTCCCGGAAGTGTTGCATTCATGGCGCCGTCAGACACAGGGACGTTCTGGACTGGTATAGTTTTTGTACCGGGACGAAGGGTTGTCACCCTGATAGAAGAAGATTCAGCAATGGAACTTGTGAAACCTTGTTGGAAGATGCTGCCACTTTTTGAGGTTGTCGCGATTTGGATTTTATGCTCTAACCAATTAGTATTGTCATAAAAATGTTTTGTTCCATGCCCCTGTCCTTGAAAACCAGTATGTCCAGGACGGTGATTAGGACTTGCTGTGTGAGTAACATGACTGTACTCCAAGCCACTCTTCTCCGGTGTTGCAGTAGGACCTTCAGTGGGTGCAGGAGATGTCGTTTCGCGATGTCCGTGTTCATTCCAAGCATGAACCGGTTGTGTATTATGTTTGGGCATCATTCCGGAAGGGTTGTGAATAGGGTATCCGTATTGATCATGTGAATTGCCTTTGTCGGCGGCACCATGACCTGCCCCAAAACCAGGACCCCAAACATTTGGTTCTGGTAACATCGCATGGTTTGGTCCTCTTGGTGGGTCCTGGGGATGTCCATGTGGGGGTGGTGTTCCTCTATGCGGTTCCTGGTCGTGTCCATGTGGCGGTGGTGTTTTTCTATGCGGTTCCTGGTCGTGTCCATGTTGGGGTAATGTTCCTCTGGGCGGATCCTGACCATGTCTCTGTGGGGGTGGTGTTCCCCTGTCTTGTTCCGGGGCGTGTCCATGTTGGGGTTGTGGTCCTCTTTGTGGTTCCTGGCCAGGCCTGTGTGGGCGTGTTCCAGCCAAATTGCATGGTACCTGGTACATCAGCAGACTTTGGGATGGGTGGCTGAAGCTCCTCGGGCTCACGACGGGGATGACGTTAGCGACGTTGTGCGGATGAAACTGCAGGGTATGGTGGGGAGGAGCTGTATGGTTGAGAGGTGGGTAGGGGCTACTCAGATTTTGGAGGACCGAGCTCAGGCCTGTAAACATAGTAGTTGTATCAATCAGGATCGATTCGTATGATAAAATAAATTAGAACTGCCTTCGCGAGCACCTGTTATCATCACTATTTTATAATCACGAGAAAGTTCACGATATAGTTGAATGTACCCTTGCGTCAACTCTTTACCAAATTCTTCGCGTTTGAGCAGATTCTAGCGATTCCAGTGTAGTTTGTCAGGGAGGAAACTGGAGATAAAGTCATCTCCAAGATGATATTCTAGATACGTCATGATGTAAATGAACTATAGTGGCAGTATAATCCAGTGTATTAAATATTTGTAGTCAAATAACCGGGTATCCAAACGCACGACTGCCATTAAAATGTTCTTGGGCATGTCAGAACCCAAAGCTCGGCGGTTCTTTTCCATTTTCCATTATTATTGTTCTGGGTATGTGATCACCAGTAGGTGTCATCAAAGTAGTACAAATCTAAAGCCTGCATCTCTTTCGGGATGTCTATTCACACCGAGCTGGCATGAAGTGATATACGGTAACTGAGATACTGTCTAGAACGACGTACATTTGCAGTGCTAGACACGTGTCCTTACCATCTTTCCCCAAGCGCCACAAGTATGACTCTTCTGCTGACGTGTCCCCGAATACCTTAAAAATGTCTTCCGTGTACTGGATGTCACACTTCTGCCTTGGGTCAGTCAGTATGCGGTGTCCTGGAATATACCAGCGAATGGTCAGACCACATGTTTTGTATATTTCCTGGTTTTACGTGAAGATTGTGGTAGGTCAAAATGACAAAGAAAATAATTTATATTGAACTTTTGTGTTTCAAATTATATCTGAATATGTAAGCATGGAAGCAATAACGGTGTTTTTAAGCTCATATCTTTGGTTTTACAGTTTGTTTGATTTGTATTATTGATTAGTGTTTAGAATTTTTCTTTGGGTCTCTTTCTTTTAGTGTCTCCTGATTCCGAATCTTGAGTTCATTGGTAAAAATTAATGTCACAATCATCTTCAATTATCCAGTGCATCTGTATCTCCGGTCTGGTTGGGTGTTGGGTGTTGGGTGTTGGGATTTCACCCACCTTGGCTCTGCCATTGCAAAACATTACCTTCAATGTGGTCTTCAGTCATTTTCAAGGGGGATGGGGGGGACCCCTGAACCCTCCTCTGGATCCGCCACTGCCTTTTTTGAATGTCATGACACTAGGTGTAGACCTCCAAAGGCATTTTTGTCGTGAGTTAAGGAATTATGTACTGTGTTAATGAAAAGAGCCAAGGGCAGTTATCACGATGCCTTGTAAATGTCGCAGCTCGAAAAGATTAATTGTCCGCGATGTGATTTATGAATATCTAACAAAACTCTGTCGGTGAATATCGAAACTGAAGCAACGTCAATAATGTCAGTGTACCAGAATGTGTCGTTTTCTGTAGACTACCTACCTTGAATTAGATGTGAGATTATATTTCCAAAACATAGGCACATATTCCGAGATTGCCTCGAGCTGGCGAATTGGGAGCACTGCAACATACAAGGTAACATACAGCTGTTGTGACCATACTCTGTGTCCTTCATACCACTGACATTGATGCCGCAGCTGATCAATCAGAATGACTGCACGTAGGGGTGGGTACTGCAGAGAAGTTTCATATTGCGATATATTGCGATGCGAAAGCATGTATTGCGATATGTATTGCAATATATTGCAGGAAGTATTTTACTACTTATAACTACTTATAATCGAGTTAATTCTTGATTTATAGAGCAAAAACACAACAAAATCACTAGGTTTGATTGAGCTTTAAAAATAACAACTTTTAATCATGATAAAATAAAAATGTGAATAATATTTGGCACAAATGAAACATATATCCGAGTGTTACGAAGTTTTCCGAATGCAAGTCAAAATACCGGTTTTCGATCAGCGTATGGCAATACGTATCGTTTTCATGTCTGAACCGGTAAATACCGGTAAACCGGTTATATTGCGCAGCCCTAACTGCACGAACTAGTTGTATCTGACGAATGCCTGCGGCGTATAGACGGTTCCTAGTTACTTGGGCTTAAATCCTATGCAATATCGGCACCATGTACACAGAGATACTGAAGTGTATATAGCAAAGTGGAAGGAGAGTACTGAAAGGTATTTAAGATCTGCTCCAGAAAGGAGCACTACCACCAAATTCAGTTGAAGCCTAACTTGTTGCCATTAAAATGCAACAAGATGACATCCTCATAGTTTGGCTTAGGACACCTGCTCCGGACAAAATGACATCCTCATAGCCACAGCCTAAGTCACGTTTCCATGGAAACCGCAAAAATAAAATTAATATCTGGGTCTAAACTCCCAAAGGCACATCTATGGATCATGCTTGACAAGATGACATCCTCATAGTCACAGCCTAAGTCATGTTTCCATGGAAACAGCATAAAATAAAATTCATATCTGTGTCTAACCCCCAAAATGTACATCAAGGGATCATGGTTGACATGTGAACCAAGTTTGGTTAAGCTATCACGATAGTTTAGGAGATATGCTTCGGACAGCTTCGTTGTTGAGGGGGATAACTCGACTTTACGAGCCCTGCGTTCTTTTGTTGATCAGCTCCTACCTTCCGCCTCTTGACAAAAGCGACATGCGCAGAACATCCATTCCATATCCGGTGGCGCATCAGTTCCGGTCTCCACATAGAGGCCACCTTGTACAGGAAGTGCGTCATGAGAGGCGGTTGACAGGGAGGCGGTGGAGCGGGCTGAGGCGGTCGGTCAAAACATAGGATATCTTCTAATTGTACAGAAACCACCAGGAGACGTTTCATGATGTCGGGTTCTGTGCATAGCGTCGAGTTATTGGACAGGATTTCGTTCCGTATCTGTGCAATGAAAGGACCTAAATTTGAATGTATGCCACATACAATTATCATTTTAATGAACCAGTTCAATGAAAGGACTGTTCCTTAATGGATATTGATAATTTAACATTCGGCGGGTAGAGGGTTGAAGAAACTAGAATCTAGAAACAAGCATATTTTGGGGGCAATTTATTTCTTAATCAGTCTTATTCGTTGTATATTTTATGCATTTTATATGGCATTATTTTTGTCTTCTCACAATCCCGTCGCCGAAAATCAAATGGATTGTCTCTTACTTCTGACCCGTTGAAAATGTCTGGTTGGTTTTACGCCGCTTTTAGCAATATTCCAGCAACATCACGGCGGGGGACACCAGAAATGGGCTTCACACATTGTGCCCATGTGGGGAATCGAACCCGGGTCTTCAGCGTGACGAGCCAACGCTTTAACCATTCGGCTACCCCACCGCCCCCTCATAGTTAAACTCCATCCTACGATTTAAGATCTTACACAAACTACACAGCATAGCAGTACAGGCCGCTCTTATACTGGCAAACCAATTCTGACCGTTGTTTAACAAACACAACAATGGTAGGCACACCTGTTGGCACGTGTAGTTGACCCCTGGGCATCGTATATTCTTGATCCTTCGCTCACAGTCGAAGCCCTGAAGCACCACCTCAACAAGCTCCTGCATTTGGTCTTGGGAACTCCTGCTCTGTATCCCGAGTACATCCCAGTGGTGCGGTCCTAATCTGTTACACACATCCGGGCCTTTCAGATGTTGGGCGTCGGGGCACTGTGATGACGTCATAGCAATGGTCCCAAGGAACAGCACAAATATTTGCAGGTCATCCATCTGAAAATTGGATTAAATTTATTTGTGATTCAAAACATGCAGTTACATATATGGAATCATTACCTAGGTATGTGAGTGAGTTGGGTTTAAGCCCGCTGTGATTCACAAGATAAGTTTCTGGTTTGCCCAAGGGAGGCTACTCTGTATAGCTAATTGCGGTGAATGAGACGACTAGACCAACCGTGCCCCCTTTCCCAAGTGAATGTAGGTTTAGGGTTTGGGTTGATGAAGTATTATTGGTTTTAGATACACGTATTAGTTCACCTCGTACTCCTACAGGGTGGGTTGGGTTCAATGCCCCTTTCAACAGGATTTCCGTTATACCAAGCGGTTCGCCATTTTGATGAAACCGCTCGGCAAGAATGTGGTCTTGGCCACCATATATGGAAGCTGGGGTGTGTGTGTGTGTGTGTGTGTGTGAGAGGAGAGAGAGAGAGTTACTGGCCTTCAAACCCACGATCACAGATTTCCGGGCTTCACAAACTGTAACCATGTGGGGAATCGAACCCGGATCTTCGGCGTGACGGGCGAACGCTTTAACCATTAGGCTACCCCACCGCGCTCAAGTACAATAACTATATGGTTTTTCTTGTGATGGAACAAGTTCTTTGGCTTCTCCTTCCAGTAACACATACTGGTAAGCATAGTGTCTGAAGTGTCCATTATATTCGCCTAAGATTCCTCAACACATACACACGATGGGTAGTGATGCCGTTGTCCACTGACACACCTTACCTCTGTGCATGCATGCGTGCGTTCGTGCGTTCGTGTGTTATATTGGATGAAGCTCAAGAGCAGAGAGTACAAATCAAGAATCATTATCAGGACGAATCAGGGTTTCGAATCCACTATCATAAATTCCTGGGGCTTCTAAGGGGGGCAACTGCGCACTTACACGTTAGTATGATGGATACATCTGAACTTGAGTTCAGGCCAAACTTGTTTCGTCTTATATTCGAGGCTGGGTAAAATATGCTTAAAAGAAGCGATTGGTTTTATGATTCAAGGACCAATTAATGTCATAGGTGGTTAAAACGGGACAAATCGTGTGTTATCTAGGTTATACTGACTGAGGCATGGTAACCTAGTTACCAAATGTATATAAGTCGCTTCCCGTACACTCATATCGTGAGCTTCTGTCACGACTTGTTGGGCCAACATGGCTAACCGTTGTGATAAGACCGCCTGTCACCTACTGCACACCGTTCTGACAACTTGTGTTAAAACAATACTAGAGATCCAGGTCAGTCTATCTAGTGTTAGTCAAAACATGATTTGATACACTTGCATCTGCACGAATGCATTACGCGGGTCGGTAACCAGATTGTGTCTGGAATGTGTGCTGGTCATTGCAAGAGAAGAATGGGGATGCTGATTGGGAGGGGTTGTAGGGACTCGGGTGGGGATGGAGTGAGTGAGTTTAGTTTTACGCCGCTTTTAACCATATTCCAGCAATATCACGGAGGGGACACCAGAAATGGGCTTGACATATTGTGCCCGGGTGGGGATGGAAGTCAAAGGAGTTCTAAACATGGGGCTGTCTGTCAATCATAATCACCGAACTACATTATTTTCATCTCAGACCGCCTCCGTGGTGTAGTGGTTAGAGCGTCCGCCCGGAGAGCGGAAGGTCGTGGGTTCGATACCAAAAGACGTTAAAATATGGTACTTGCGCTCGGCATTAATGGGTACAACTACTGGTCGGCTCAGAGTCAGTATAATGTGTCTGTAATGTGAGGGTATATTCATGCTTCATTGCGGCATGGTATCTCAGTGGGCTAGCACTATAAAACCAGCTTAAGCCTGGGCTAGTACAAGCAGCCGCACATACACATACACACGCATGCATGTCGTCATATGAGCGAAATATTCTCAAGCACGACGTTAAACCCAGTTTCACCTCACCACACCCCTCAGCTCAGCCCTTTCTACATTGCTAAAGCCCTCAATATATAACGCCCCTAAATGAAGCAAGTCTAGATTTCCTCAGGTTCTGAATCTCCCATCTCAACGGGGCTCCTTTTCAATGTAAATGAGATTATTTGTTACAACCAAATGTATATTTATACAGAGACTAAGCGTTAGTCTATGTGGGGGCGGTGGGGTAGCCTAATGGTTTTTAAAGCGTCCGCTCATCACGCTGAAGATCCGGGGTCGACAATGGGTGTGAAGCCCATTTCTGGTGTTCTACGACGTGATGTTGCTGGGATATTGCTAAAAGCGGCGTAAAACCATACTCACTTACGTTAGTCCATGTCAATAAGAGCATTATTCCATCTCATATGACGGTGGTCAGAAATAATTGAGTCTGGACCAGTGATTTGCATCATGAGCATAGATCTACGCATTAGGTGAGTGAGTGAGTTTAGTTTTACGCCGCACTCAGCAATATTCCAGCTATATGGCTCCGGTCTGTAAATAATCGAGTCTGGACCAGACAATCCTGTGATCAACAGCATGAGTATCGATCTAAACCGGACCACCACGCGCATTGGGAACCGAATGTCAACCAAGCCAGGGAACCGATGGCATACGACAAGTGGGTTACTGAAGGTTCCTAAGCCAGCGAGACCTGACCAGCGAGCCTGACCACCCGATCCCGTTAGTCGCCTCATACGACAAGCATGGGTTACTGAAGGTTCATTCTAACCCGGACCACCACGGATCTACGCATTACAGTGGAATGGGATGACATGTGTCAACCAAGCCAGCGAGCCTGACCACCCGATCCCGTTAGTCGCCTCATACGACAAGCATGGGTTACTGAAGGTTCATTCTAACCCGGACCACCACGGGTCTACAGTGGAATGGGATGACATGTGTCAACCAAGCCAGCGAGCCTGACCACCCGATCCCGTTAGTCGCCTCATACGACAAGCATGGGTTACTGAAGGTTCATTCTAACCCGGACCACCACGGGTCTACAGTGGAATGGGATGACATGTGTCAACCAAGCCAGCGAGCCTGACCACCCGATCCCGTTAGTCGCCTCATACGACAAGCATGGGTTACTGAAGGTTCATTCTAACCCGGACCACCACGGGTCTACAGTGGAATGGGATGACATGTGTCAACCAAGCCATTGAAACTCATCATCGGTTCCGCCTGATGCCTCTTTCGACAAGCATGGACGTCTCTCAAAACAGGCTTGGGTCGCTTTAGACTAGTTCTCTGACTAGATGTAGTAATTATTAAAAACGTTTAACGTGTCAGCTGTTCTCAAATATATCAAATATATCCCCAGAGGAACTGAATCGGCTAATTAACATAAATGAATTATTTATGCCACTTTGAGAAACCTCACCTTACTTTAGACTCGGTCAAGGCAGCTCTTGGTGTGTGGAGGTGTGAAGTGATCACCTGGTTTTAAGAGGTCAGCTGGACAGATAATCATTTCATGCAAAAATCGTGTATAGTTGTGCAAACATTGAGACCAAAATAGTCAGCGTTCACAAAACATGGACTCCATGATGAGTAATTTAAATTGAATATAACTGTACCTACGAGAACGGTTAACTGAAGCGACAAACTCTTTCCATGATCATTCGATGTATCTGCTAAAATCCGAGAGGTCAATGTATGATTCCGACTCTATCTTGCAATTGTGTTTAAGAATCTATATAAAAAAATAACCTTATCAACTGTTCGCGAAACGATTAGCATATTCAGCCCTACAGTAAATACCCATCACAAACACGAGGAAAGGCAAGTCAATTATTCACCTGAAGAAAAATGCATCCGTTAATTGTCAAAATGGGGAATTGAAAGAGGCATCATTTTGATAGTGACGTGTCTTCCACCTCTCTTCAGTGACACTTTTTGACAAGCTTTACGGAGGTCTTGAATGTTGCAATTCCGTTCAAAGACCGTTTGCAAGAGCTTCATATGACGGTCTGTGAAATCTTCAAGGTTTGATCTGAAATTTAGACAGCAAAGACTTAAGGAGCTGTGATTCCATTTACTCTCCGAAGCTACCCCAGTCAAACCTAGATGAAATATACGGCACTAAAAGAGAAACCGATCGGTGGTGCTGGAAACCTGTGGATCAAGTGTACCAGGGTTCGATTCCGCATGGCGCAGTGGGGCATACCCGTTTGATTAAATGTTTGTTCGTGAGGTCAAAGACCCGGGTTCGATTCATGACACGAATTAAATGTGTGGGACCAATTCTTTGTGTACCCCTTCAATCTTTGAAAGAGTTGTCATGAAGCATATGTCTAATTATTTTCTGGACAATAGGTTGTTATACGAATACCGATCCTGATTCCAAGTAGGCCATTCTACGACTCATCAGTTAATAGAACTATACATAACAAATTTGCTCAGCTCTAGATAGGCGTGAAGACTATTGTATGGTGTTTTGTGATGTTTCAAAGGACTTTGACAGAGTGTGGCCCAGAGGATTATGGCATAAATTAATCAGCTACGGTATAGGTGAAGAATTACTTAAATGGATACAGTGTTACATCAGTGGAAGAACTCAAAAGGTGTTTTTAAATGGTTCATTATCAAATCCCAAATCTCGTGCAGCTGGGGTTCCCAGGGATCAGTTCTGGGCCTCTTTCTGTTTATAGTATATGTTAATTATATTGCCGATAAACTAGATTGTGCTGCACGCTTGTTCGCAGATGATACATCAATGGGATTTTCGTCTATCAATCACAGGCTTATGCAAGATACACTCAATAGGAACCTACAATATGTATTGTGCTGGGCAAAACGTTGGCTTGTGACATACCATCCCAACCAAACAGAAGCTATACTTTTCAGTCTTAAGAATAACAATACAATTCTGAATTTAGAATTTGAAAATCAGTGTGTACGTTTGGAAAAATCTCATAAACATCTTGGAGTAACAGTTTCTTCTGATTGTAAATGGAACACCCATATTGATAACATTGTAAGAACAATGTCCCTGATGGTTTCATCAATGAGAAAATTAAAGTTCATGTGAAACAGAGACACTCTAAATAAGATCTTTATTGTATTTATAAGACCTCATCTTGAATATGCCTGTGAACTGGGGTGGCTGTTCGGTAGATTTAACCGATAAAATTGAAAAAGTTCAGTTTGAGGCCGCCAGGATAGTTACTGGTTTACCACAATATGCCACTAGAGAGACTCTAATTTATGAGACAGGGCCTAGATTTTCGAAGCTCTCTTAGCGCTAAGATAGTCGTAAGTGCCATTCATTAGCATTAACTTACGACTATCTTTGCGCTAAGAGAGTTTCGAAAATCTAGGCCCTGGTTGGCAATTGTTAAAAGAGAGAAGAAGATGTCGTAAACTGTCTTTATTAACAAAAATGCTCCATCCTACCTTTGTGATCTTTTGCTCAAACTGTTGAATCTAGGACAAATTATAATCTTAGAAACATTCGTGATCTTTCCCTGTCCTATTCCCGCACAAGTCTCTACACAGTCAATCATTTTCCCCATCATCTTCACAACTTTGGAATAATCTCCCGTTATATGTTAGAGAATCAGTTTCCCTTAAAAGTTTTAAATCGTATATAAGCTCGCGTAAGTAAAAAGCACCAGGATATTTCTCATTTGGTAATAGAAAACTCAATGTAATTCATACCCAGCTAAGATATTCAAATAGTAGATTAAATGATGATCTATATAGGATTGGTCTTATAGAGAACCCCGAATGTAATTGTAAATTTACCTGTGAAAATTCTCATCATTATTTTATGGAATGTTCTTTGTATTCTAATATCAGACAGGAAATGTTTCGAAATATAAGCAGAATTTGTAGCATTAGAGCACCAACAAACCTAGACGCACTATTAAATGGCAGTGCAGATCTTCCGTACAGTGACAATATTCAGATTTTTAAAGAAGTTCAAAAATATATATTAAAACTCCAAAAGGTTCAGTAATTGGATATAATGTTTCTGATCTAAATAATGCATGTATTCAATGTATTACTTTATTTTAAATATCTTATTCTCCTTTTGTTTATATATTTCTATCCCTGTACATATATATATAGACTGGTTTGTTTCACTTTTGCATGTAAGCACTGTAAATAGGAGAGGGTTTCACTAAGTTGGAATAACTTGTACCCAATCCATTCTCTTGAATAAATATGTTTAAATCAAAAGCCCATTCATGATATTGCTAGAATATTGCAATACATAAATTAAACCCTACGTACTGGCTCAAACCCGATTGGTAGAGTACAAGGCCTATCTTTGTTGGGTGTATAGCATATCCCAAGTGAGCAACAGTGTTTCATACCTTGTTAAGTTTCCGATCCCTCAGTTTGCGTTGAAGAACATACACCGTTGGCCTAGCTAGATTTCGCCGTGTGGACTCACCTTTGGTCGTGGTTCGAATGTCAGATTCCACAAGATGATATATGTAGGTTGGTTCGCGTTCGTTGGTTTCACCATAGTGGTAAGCGTTATTACCTATTTCACTTCTTGCGCTTTCCCAACATCAAGTTAACCGTGAAGATCCAGGTTAGAATGCGTCTACAGTAACCCATGCTTGTCGTAAGAAGCAACTAACGGGATCGGGTGGTCAGGTTCGCTGACTTGGTTGACACATCGTATCCCAATTGCTTAGATCGATGCTCGTGCTGTTGATCACAGGATTGTCTGGTGCAGACTCGATTATTTACAGACTGGAGCCATATAGCTGGAATATTGCTGAGTGTGGCGTTAAACAACAAACAAACCAACAACCAACCCAACAAGTAGTAATATAACTGAAATACAGTCCAAAGAACTCACTCACTCACTCACTTATTTACAGTTGTGGACTTGAGACCGCTTTGCGGCCCTGGTGAGATAAGGACGTTTTCCCTCCGTCAGTTTCTGTCATGTAACGTTTGACCACTATATGAGCCACCTGAACCCAAACGTTCAGAAGCAGTGTCTCGTACGACTCAAATCTGCTGGATTTAAAGTGACAGTACAGTTTAAAGTATACGTCAGATTTTCTTGTCTTCTAAGGCATCTGCAGGGGCGGATACAGCTTTTTGAGAAAGGGGGTGGGGTGGGGGTTTGGGGTGCACTACTATTGAGAAAAGGAGGGTGCACACTTCATTTTCACAGGGTTTCAATGGTAATTTAATAAACTTTCAGGACAAAAAAAGGGTGGTGATGGGGGGTGTGTGTGTGTGTGCACCCCTGCACCCCCGTCTGGATCCGCCTATGCATCTGGGAAACAGAAACAGTAACAGGTCGATGCTCATGATGTCAGTCACTGGATTGCCTGGTCAACGCACGGGTGTTTACATGCCGCTGTTATATGATTGGCTTAATGGCGTTATCCCGCTAAAACACAAAACAAAAATGAAACACTAACAAGTAATGCAACAGATGACTTGTAAAGTAAACTCCCTTACCATGAGGTCTTCTGGTGACATCTGGACAGACATCCCCCGAAAACTGTGGGTCGAATGTTCAGGTGCTGCCAAGGCGCTAAACACCTTAGACGACAGTTCTAAAAATGGACTTTTCTTGGCATGGCATGGCATGACGAACGGCAGTTAATGGCATGCATGCCCTGTCACAACATTGGTGCTAACTTGAACATAAACCACATGGTTATCAGTTGACTTGTACAGAAGCACGTGGCCACCAGCAAAGCAAATGATTGGTCAAAGCCTGACGACCAATGACTGTGGTGAATCCCATTACCCATGCTGCCAATGTGAGGCCAATATAAGGAGGAGACTGGCAGGTGTTCAGGTCTTTGAATGCCAGTGATCCCCAGCTGTATGACTGTGGTCTGTGTGTAATCGGGTTTGGCCCAGACAATCCAGTGATTGACATCATGAGCATTAATCTACGCTATTGGGATGCAATAACATGTGTCAATCAGGTCAGTGAGCCAGACCCCCTGATCCCATTAGTTGCACAACAAGCATGGACTGCTGAAGACCAATTCGACCTGGATCATCACCTTATGTGCAACAAAGAATGCACACTAAGGTTGACAGAACACTTTAATCAACAGAAATAATAATGTTCTCTGTGTAGTCCGTGGTACTTAATTAGTCTTGATAAGTATCTCTTGAATAAGCTTGCTGACTCCGATCTCTGTAATGTATGTATACAATTCCAATCCTATCTCATGCCATAAGTGAGTGAGTTAGGTTTTATGCCGCTATTAGCAATATAATATCACAGCATTGGACCCAAGAAATGGGCTTCCCACTTTGTACCCATGTGAGGAATCAAACCTTGGCCTTTGGTGTAATGAGTGAACACTTTCACCACTGGGCTACCCCACCACTCCTCTCATATAACATGAACTCCCCCCCAACCTGCCCAAGGATGCAGATTATCTACCTAAGCTCTTAAAAACAGAATGACATTTCAGAGAGGTCACATGACCAGAGAGGCAAGCTGAATAGGCAGTTCAAGAAGTGACATTGACAAAAGGGGAGGTAACTGCTCGGTGCATTTGGGTGAGGTATTTTGAAACTGGAAATATTCTAAGGGTTGCAAACATGTTTCCACTCAGGATTGATAGATAACAGAGAGATACAAAAGAGAGAAACAGGATACGTATTTCAAATACATTTTATTACAAAATTTCCAATCATAGGCTGGATAGTATATCTTTCAGGAATCCTAAACAATGTTAGATCCCAGCAACATTTCAGGGCCAGATCAAACAAATTTCCATTTATCCATCTAATGGTTTTGATCAAATGGATGGTTTGGGTAAACATATTCATTGTTGTGATCCGAAATATGAGTGAGTGAGTGAGTTTGGTTTTACACCGCTTTTAGCAATATTCCAGCATCATCGCGGGGGGGACACCAGAAATGGGCTTCACACATTGTACCCATGTGGGGAATCGAACCCGGGTCTTCGGCGTGACGGGCCAACGCTTAACCCACTAGGCTACCTCCCCCTCCGAAATATGAGATCATTATTACATTTACATACATATGAAAGCCCCAGTAAACAGCTACAACAAAACTGAATAAACATAAGTTTCAAATGACTCAGATTAATGCAAAAATCATGAAATAATAGCAGTTGAATAAAACATGTCTAATAAGCTGTGTGATTTAATGTCATCTGTACTAAGTTGAGTTATTTCACACAAAGATTCAAGTTATAATAAAAGCCCCAGTAAACAGTTACAACAACAAATACTTCATAAGCATAAATTTCAAATATAAAATTTAAATGTCAATGGCAGCTACCATTACTCAGATTAATGCAAAAATCATGAAACAGCAGTTCAATAAAACATGTAATATAAGCTGCATGATGTGAAGTCATCTGTACCAACCATGCTGAGCTATTTCACACAAAGATGCATCAAGTCTTAATCAGATTTAATTGGTTTTCATCAGAGTTCATCATGGACTGTTTTCTGCCACCAAGCATCAATTTCTGCCACTACTTCCCAGTCAACTAGTGTCCACCAGTTTGACACGTGGTCTGGGCGTCTGTTCTGATATTTCAAGTAATAAGCATGCTCCCACACATCAAGCACCAGAATTGGGAGGAGTCCCTGGGATAATGGAGAGTCTTGATTGGCTGTAGTAGACACCAATAAACTGCCATCTCTTGGTTGACGTGACAACCAGACATAACCTGAGAATAAAATGCATGATGAATTACTCCTGTAGTCAACTTACAATATATCTATTTCTTTCCATGCAAATTACATTTTGTCGAGCACATTTGCCTTCAGTAGAATAGAACAAATAATGCTTTTCATATTTTATTCTACCAACTGATGATATATAATTAAAATGATTACATAACAATGTACAAATATAATAATAATTTTGATAAGAATATTTTTCTTCTTCTGTTTAAGAACAATTAAAAGGAGATATTACAGTAACAGTTGAGAAATGGTGAAAAGGGGGGAACTTTTCAAAGGTAGTGCTGGAGGAAGAGTTAATACGTAGTCTGTGAGGATCACCTGAACCAAACAGTTTTGCTGCTTCTCGTGTGAAATGTTGCTTGAAAGCAGTGTAGTTGCCAAAGTCAGCCTGTATGTCATTGAGAAGATCTGAGTGAGGTAGGCGTTCCTCTCCGTCAGGGCTTGGTGCCATTACAGACCAATATAGGTTATGGTTTACGAATCTGAAACAGAAAGTGTATTCAGCATCTCTTTCTCTGACTGAACATAAAATGCTCTTAAAATGGATCATATCTAGAAACTGAAATGGAGAAATGTCAAATGATTTCACAATTTGGTAACATAATTTTGATGAACAATGTGAACTAAATCCAGCAAGAGGAAATATTTTTAAAGCAGACAAACTCAAATATACTTACCCTCCTCCATTGTTTCTGATTGCATTTCTGTACATTTCAGGAACCTCGTCAATTTTGGTCAGAATATCTAGGATTGACTTAGAACTAAGTCCAGCATGATCCGTCTGTAAAAGAGTATATTGTGAACATAGTGAGAACAGGCAAAAACAGCATATACACTACAAAATTGTATCAAATGTGCTGGGAGAAAACAACTCAGATTTCAAGGCAAGGACAGCATCCTATAGATTATTAGGTTATAGAGAATATTTTATCATTGCCATACATTATTTTAATATAAACAGACAAAACTATAACTTTTAGTCATCCAGCCATTCTTGTTAACCCACATCATCACCTGATGCTGATTAGCATCAGCCAACCAACAAACTGGGTTTCTGACCAGCAAGGGAGTGTCTTTTTAAAACCAGGGGAATCCCCTTTAATTCTCCTATTTGATCAGACTATGCTTAAGAACATAATGAAAATCGCGGTGGGCGAGCTGGCTAAGGCGCCAGGCTGGTGATCCAGCGAGGTTGAGGTGCCAGGATCGAGCCCACCTGTGACCGGGTGTAAAAGCCTTGGAGTCAACTTTGTGTGCAGACTCTTTCAGTGTTGTCACAACCCCTAGTGTACAGTACACAACCCTGTGCACTTAAAAGAACCCACAAATCCGTTGGTATATGACCAGATGGTGGCCACATGAATATGTGCAAACACCTAGTTGCGGGTACAGCAACGTACAGTAAACTTGGACAAAGTACTGTGAGTATGTGTCCCAGTCCACCCAACTGTGAATGGGTACCTTGTTAGGGTCAGAAAGACACAATAACTCGGTGCGCCTAGTGGCAGCAAGAGTTGTATACTCCCCAGGGAGTTGAGATTGATAACACGATGTGCCGTTGAGACTGACATCCAATGATCGAGGGAAAAATACCAGCGCCTTGAGCATGCACCAGTTGTGTGGATATGTGCGCTATATAAATATACTATGATACTATAATTAAAAAAAAATAAATTACCTTAAAAATTTGTATATGTGTGTAGATATGTATGCACAATTAAGTACAATTATGTACTTTAGCATACAGCAATTATGTGTACGTATTACTTTTGCAACAATTAAATTTACTTATGACTGACTGACTGACTGAGTTTGGTTTTACGCCGCTTTTAGCAATATTCCAGCAACATCACGGCGGGGGACACCAGAAATGGGCTTCACACATTGTACCCATGTGGGGATTCGAACCCGGGTCTTCGGCATGATGAGCCAACGCTTTAACCACTAGAAATTTACTTATGAACTCAAAATTGATGATTTTACTTTTTCAAACAAATTGCATAAAATACATGAGCCTTCTTCACATTTCATGATAATTAACTTCAAATTCCACATTTTATCGACAAGTTTGTAATCAGCTATTTATTTACCTTAAGTCTCTGGAGGGATACTATGTACATTTTCACTGTGCATAATAGTGACAGCTTAACGTTTTTAGTCTTGTATGCATTGTTCAACAAAACGAAAAAAAACCCATATGTACCTTAATTCCCCTGCCGGTATATAATTTGTTATGATAGACTGCTTCTCATACTCCAATAGGTCTGGCCTCGCGAACACAAGTAAAACCTGTTGAAGTCCATAATAATCAAATTTGTATTTTGTATACCGCGAAAAAAAAACCCACCCTTATTTCGACGCTTTAAAAGTTTTAATTGTGTTTCCCTTTTATCATCACAGATATTTTACGAAATTCATACCTAAGTATTCGAAAAAATATTTTGATCATACTCATTTTAAATAGAATATTCCTTTGAATTAATTTAGATTGCAAACTCTATTTCGCCAAACGCTGCACCACATACATCTGGGTCAACCCGCCACTGCCTGAGAGCCGCATTCATTTTCTTGGTATACGCTGCGTGATGGCCTGTGTGGTGTACGCGCACCGTTGCCTCGTCAATTATTGGTTCTAAACTGTTGTAGGGGTAGGGAAGATCTGGTAGTTTGTAATCATCGGAATAAATTTCCATGCCATCATACGGCATCGAAAGGACAGCTGAAAAACAAAACACAAACCAACACAAGATATTTCGAATCGTGGGCGACGCCATTTTGAAACAAACCCAATGTCACGTGACTTACATATGACCTCCATAACGAAGATTTCACGGTAGTAAATTATGTTATGAAACCAACCTGAAGTTGACAGATCAAGGCCTGCTTCAATAAAAACAGGTAACGTTATCATCATCACCACGAGAAGCTTATGATGGAATACTGTTTAAGAATAAGAGAGTGGAGAGGAGGATACGGGGAAAACCCGCAGTGCTAAAATTAGAATTCGACTTCGGAGAAAATGACGATTTCCGACTTTCTTTATCGACATCAAAAATCTGTAACAGTGTTATGACAGGCGAAGTAGCGGGTAAGTTTGCTATTACCTCTGACCAGATTATGCTCTAATTGCTACTGATCTTCACCTAACATTGTAATTGGTGTCGTGTGGAACTGATTATAAGAGGCATTAGTTTTCGAGATTAGTCCAAATAATTTGAGCCAATTGAGGCAGATAATATTTTGTGTAAATGGTGTGTTGGTTCATTCATCATCCATCCAGAATTATGATAACAAGTTCTACGAAAATGTGTGTCTGATGTGTACACATAAAAAAACGTTATTATAAATTTTGAACGACTATATCCAAACTCATAATCTTCGACCCTGTTTCCCTGTTTTTCCTTTGACACCATACTGCTAATTCTAAGTTTGTCTTAAACTTCTAGATGAAGACCATGATACAAAGTTTTGAATGTAGTATTGTCACTATATTCTTTGCTTGATATCATGTAGTTGCTTTAAATTTATGTTACGAAACACTGGGGTTTGACCAGAGACCATCTCTGACGAATCGAAATTCACGTCCCCTTCCCCAACCAGTCTCAGGTTGTGTCAAGAAAATGGAAAACGTCTCACAGGAGCCTAGCTAAAAACCTGTATACATTGATCAGGCAAAATATGTGCAAGGTCAGAAAGAAATGCTGACAAATATAATTTGTAGTGTAACCCTAGATGTTTATATACCTGTATTGTATATATATATTGCATGGCTTAACATATGAGTTTCTGTAATATTGCTGACAGCAATCAACATTCACTGACTTAAATTTGAAACAAGCCTGACAGCTGTATCAGCTGTATGTATTGATCAGCTTTCATCATCTACAGGTTATCATCATACTGTGATCTCATGGACATGGAATGCCAACAAAAATGATCAGATCATAGACTGAAGTGAAGCTGTGAGACACAAAAGACACAAGGCAGTGTATCTTTACAGGGAAGACATGTCAGTCACAGACAGTCTCCGACAGAGGTTGTTGTCAATTTCGGATGGTTTGACTGACGATGATGTAACTCACATGAAAAGTTTGTGTTTAGATGTCATTAGTAGGAAAGAAGCGGATGACATATCTAGTGGGTTTCAGTTGTTTGAACTGTTGGAGACCAAAGGGAAACTGACAGATGATTATTTATATTATGTGGCTGATCTTGTGAAGTGTGTTGGGCAGGTTTGTTTGCTTGATCACATTGATCAGGGGAAGACAACCTTTGGCAAAGGGAGATGTCACATTAACACATTCAGGTGAGTAATGAGAATATATACATGTACTACTCAACAATTAAGGAACACAGATTTTTGCATTTTTGGTTGGTTTGTTGTTGAACGCCGGATTTAGCAAATATTAGCAATATTCCAGCTGTATATGGTGGCGGTCTGTAAAGAATCGAGTCTGGACCAGACAATCCAGTGATCAACAGCATGAGCATCGATCCATGCAATTGGGATACAATGACATGTGTCAACCAAGTCAGCGAGCCTGACCACCCGATCTGTAAGTTGCCTTTTGCGACAAGCATGGGTTACTGAAGACCAATTCTAACCCGGACCTTAACGTATTAGAATTGGCTGTTCAGTTTGTCCATAACAGATAAAGTATAGTCATACAGTGTTTTTAACTTTGGTGGACAGACACAACATGGTAGAACAATTGACCATACATACACAATTTAGAGTCAGCAAGGCATAAATTCAGATGTGTCAGAGCGCCATGTTTTCTAATATGGGAACAAAAATCGAAGCTTCCTTCCTAGTAGTCATGTACATTTTTCAGGGAAAGATGGTTTATGGCTTTCTCATATTTTGTACATTTTAACTGTTTTTAACAACATGATCAACATCAGCATCAACATCATCAATACTTACAAAATATAAGATGTAAAAAATCTTCTGCAGCCATTACGATGAGAATATTAGCAGCATTATTAACATATGTCAATATGAAATCTGTATACATTTCAGATTATATTTGACCAAACTGGCAATGGAGATTGATGACAGTGAGTTCAAAGCCCTGAAGAAGTCTTGCAATTGCAACAAGGAGGAGATAACTGAGTTCTACCAGCTGATGACTTTTCTAGAGAACAGGAAGAAGATAACAGTGCGTGATATCAGCTTCTTGGAGGAAGCATCCAAGAAGGCCAAGCTTCAGGGCAGGATTCCTTCCATTCTACAGTCATTTAGAGGTAATCTTATATGATAGCGTGGACTTGTCTGTAGTTTGTGTCATGCTTTTGATAAAATTGTATATTTGTTGTAAACTTTTTTCACATCTGTTAACATGCACTCTTAGAAATCACTGCAGCAATGATGTTGTAAGTTATGTAATTTTTTTACCCCCTTTGACACCTGAATTTGTGTCCTAGGGAGGTAGGGAGGTAATCAATTTTGGACACATGTACTGGGGGGGGGTTGTCAGCAATTTTGTACACAATTATATTTAATAATTATGCTTAAAAAATATGGGAAGGGGGAAGGGGGTGTTGTCACTTACTTTGTACATGCTTCTCCATAAAAATCATCATCACCCCCTTGCAATAAATTATGAACGGTCCCTTATTGTACTAAACCATCATATCATAAACCACTGGACCAGAGAAATTGAAACTTCAAAACTTCAAATGCTTGTTTTATACCAATGACAATGCCTGACTTTGTTCAAGAGGTTTAAATCTGATTTTCAATGTGTTCTTCCAAAGCCATATTGTAAATCATTAATGACAACGCATTCACCACCCCTCAATGATAAGAATACCTGTGACATATTAGTATTTTCAATTCCTGAAGCCAACTCTTGTATGATAGCTGCATCCAAGAAGTGTTACTAATTGATAGGTCATTTAATTTCAGATCAATTGGCATATGAGGCTGATCAATACAGGATTACATCAGATCCAAAAGGTAAGATACATTGATTTTCAATCAATATGCTAAGTTTTAGTATTATTGAACAAATATATGTCTGTTTTATGCTGTATATTAGTGTTTGATAAAAAACTGGAACCCTATCCACAAAGCATTTGCAGCACTACTTAATTCACTAGCCAATGATATAATATAGAGTTACGATAAGTTGTAACATTACAAAAGCTTTGTTGTTGGATCCCAGTTGATGTCCCCTCAGTATAGGTTAGTGTTGGGAATCGGAAACCAATTCACTATCGATTATCGATGGACTTGTGGTGAACGATTATCGATTATTATCGAAATAACAAGCATATGACACAAACCTTAATATGTTTGTTTTTTGTTTCCTTTGTTTGTATCTTCAAAACTTTTGGCAATATTCCACCTATACTAGTGGTGTTTCGATGATAAAAAATATAGTCGAAAATTGACCGAAAGAAGGATTAAAAATTAATTATCGATTGTAAAAAACACATTTTCGTTTAATCGGAATTTTGTTATTTTAGAATAACACAATGAAATTGGTGATTACAGTAAAATGTATATATCCAGCTTTGTCTTGAATGAGATCTGACAGGGTCAAGTTTGATAAATAATTTCTTTCCGTATCCCCATGCAATATGGGCCTTGAAAAGGGTCCATATTGTCCAAATTTCTTGGCATTGAAGACCGGAAATTTAACCAAAGTTTCCACATTCAATTCATTGCATGACAGTGTCATATAAAACAGACAGACAGTAAAAGTCAGTAAGATTAATTAGAAACATGGGGAAAAACCCTTGAAATTGGTGATTACAGTAAAAATGTGTATAACCGTAATGCACTGGCTTTGGTTCTGTGCAGTTTGGTGTATTGAAGCCACCAGGGTCTTGCTTTGAAAAGCCTGTCCTTAGGGGCTAAATCCCTCACAGGGTCCAGTTCTGATAAATAATTTCTTTTCGTATCCCCAGGAATCTGTGTCATTATCAACAATGAAAAGTTTACTTCAGGTCATCATCCAGACAGACAAGGAACAAATGTTGATGCTGGTGAGTGAAAATATGTTATTTGTATTGTACTAAATGTCCTTTTTTGCATTTTCTTATTACATGTAATTGAAATTTTATTACTTCTTAATCAGGTACCAGATACTGCAGACTACGGCTCCTTGTGATCAGCTTCTTTGTTAAACGGCCTTCACACAGCAAACTAAAGTCTGACACCACATGTTCTTAAAATTTTGTAAAGTTGTCAAACTCACGTTTTCCCACGTCAACACATGTCATTTGAGCGCCATGTCTCTATCGGTGCGATCATGTGACAATTCCATTGACTGTGATTGGTTGTTTCTGAACAACATGAATTTGACAACACTTGACACGTCAAACACTAGTTTGACTGTTGAACACCGAAAGTTTGATGGTAGAAAGGCTTCCTAGAACAGCAGACCACTCTGAAATTGGTGTTGTCAAACTTTTGTTGACAACACTTTAGTTTGCCGTATGAAGGCCGCATTACAGTGTCATTAGTAGTTTCTTGTTTCTACATTTACTGACAAGCCGAAGGACTCTAGAACAGATTGGACCTGTGAAGATCCAGGGTAGAATAGGTCTTCAGCAACCCATGCTTGCCATGAAAGGCAACTATGCTTGTCGTAAGAGGCGACTAACGGGATCAGGTGGTCAGGCTCGCTGACTTGGTTGACACATGTCATCGTATCCCAATTGCGCAGATCGATGCTCATGCTGTTGATCGCCACCATATAGCTGGAATATTGCTGAGTGCAGCGTAAAACTCAACTCACTCACTAGAACAGATTGAATGGAATGGGAGTGAATGAGTGAATTTAGTTTCACGCCTCTTTAAGCAATAGTCCAGCAATGTAACAGCGGCATGATGAGCGAATGTTTTAACCACTAGCCATCCCCACCACCTCTTGAATAGAAAATGTACAATATATATTACAAATTAAACCTTTAGCATATATTTTCTACAATTCATTGCGTGAAGCCCATTTTCTGGTGTCCCCCGCGGTGATATTGCTATTAGCGGAGTAAAACACAACTCACTCACACAGTATAATTCATTGCATGACATGCAAATGATGTCACACATTTTCACGGGTTTTCATTGTTTAAGACTTGAGAATATTTTGTGGTTGCCATTTAAGGCGGTAAATATTCATTAAGCAATGATCATATATGAGGCACACACAGAAAATAATTGTATTCTTCCTTTGCTTCCTGTGTTTTGCATAATATACAAACTCTATTTTTGATAATTCCCTGTTCAATGATCATTTGATTTGAGAATTGATATTTCTAGTTTTTTTGCAATTGGTTTATCTTAAATTCTTTCTAAACTGAATTTGAAATACTGCATATTAAATGTTTAAATTATGGTGATAGTCTTGTTAATTTATTTTTGCTTTTACAGGTAAGTTGGAAAGACTTTTTCATCGTTTCAAGTATAAAGTTGAAAGATACAACGATTGCAGCGCCAAACAAATCACTGACATCTTAAAGGAGATATCTATGCGGGACCATTGGCGCTATGACTGCTTCATCTGCTGTGTGTTATCTCATGGTACCACTGGACGTGTGTTTGGCGTGGACGGGATGGACGTGACAATATCCGACCTATTAGAACTGTTCTTTGACAGCAGATGTCTTTCACTAGCTGAGAAACCCAAACTCTTCTTCTTCCAAGCATGCCAAGGGACTGCCACTGAAGGTATATGGTGCTTTTCTGGATTTATCACGTACGGTTTTGATATATACTACAAGCAAAAAGTATGGGAACACCCTAAAATTTGATATTAACTTAAACGTGGTTAGGTCATTTATACTCTAAGGTAAAGGCAACTTTGTGTTTGCTTAATGGGCACTTTAAACGACATGTTGGAACATGCAGTGAAGCAATTGATTCAATATTCGTTGAGTTTGAGTGAAATAAAACATTGTCAAAAACAGCGAAAAACAAGCTGAAACACACCAGCACCATGTTTGATTCAAATGTTGTCACAAGCTGCATGGAGAGTCTGTTTTCATCATGCACCAGCCCGTTGTGTTTGGGCGAGTTTTAGGGTGTTCCCATACTTTTTGTTTGTAGTATATATCAACATGTATATTTAGGCGGAATTACTAAAAAGTTATTGTAGTAGAATTTCCAGGTTTTACTCAGACAAGATATCATCCAGACAAAAATGATTCAGAAAAGAAATATATTATTCACTCACTCTCACGCAAGCATGCACAGAGCTTCACTATGTAATACTGTGAGAAAAGATCAGAAATTCTAATCATCAGTGCATTCTGAATTTTGAGGGAGCTGAGTTGTGTCCCTTTGGTTGAGCTAGGATCCTGTTGTTTGTATCCAAGATGTATTCTGACCCATGGTAATACCTGCATCACTTCCGGCTTTCCTCACATACAGTGAAACCTGCCAATACCGGCACCTGTCTAATCCGGCACACTGCCAAAACCGGCATAAATTTTTTGTCCCGCCATTTAACAACGATATTATGATCATCAAAACATTGTCTAATCTGGCACCTGTCTATTCCGTATTCCGGCACGACTTTCCGGTCCCAACAAGCAATTTTAACTGTAATTAGTCCAATCAAGGACCCATAATCCAATACACTAATTAATCCTCTTGGCACGCTAGATAATCAGGAAGTAGTGATTGCACGGTGAATCAAACGCTTTAAGCTGGCATGGGTATGAGCAGTCCAATCAGGGTCCCTTAATCCAATACACTCCTCTCGGCACACTAGATAATCAGGAAGTAGTGATTGCGCGGTGAATCAAACGCTCTAAGCTGGCATGGGTATGAGCAGTCCAATCAGGGTCCCTTAATCCAATACACTCCTCTCGGCATGCTAGATAATCAGGAATAAAGAGATTAGCGAGTGTAAATGGCAGCCATGTTCGAAAATGATTGTCAGTCTAATCCGGCATCCTGTCTAAACCGGCATTTTATTTCAGTCCCGTGGGGTGCCGGTTTAGACAGGTTTCACTGTAGTTAGCTGGCACACTGTTAATTATTCTCTCACCACCCTCTCATCAACCTGACCCATGAAGATCCGGGTTAGAATTGGTCTTCAGTAACCCATGCTTGTCGCTTGGGATCGGGTGGTCAAACTTACTGACTTGGTTGACACATATCATAGGTTCCCATTTGCGTAGATCGATGCTCATGCTGTTGATCACTGGATTGTCTGGTCCAGACTTGATTATTTACAGACCGTCGCCATTTAGCTGGAATATTGCTGTAAGATGAATGTGCTTTTTGATTTCACTTAAAGAGATCTGTGATCATAAATAATTTCTTCTCACTGTCTCAGGACTAAAAATGGATTTGCCTACAACTGGCGTGACAGCTGATGTCCTAATGGATGACAAGCAGCCATCAGCGGTTGACATTGAGGGCAATATGTTGCTGGGATATGCCACGCCCCCTGGGTTCAAATCCTTTCGGAGTGGCGAGGATGGGTCATGGTATATTGAGGCTCTTGTTGGCAGTCTGAAACGAAGTGCAGCAAGGTAGTGTATGACTGAAAACTTCTGAGCCTAATGTTGAAAGAGTGAGTTAGTTTAGTTTTACGCTGTTTTTAGCAATATTCCAGCATCATCACGGTGGGGGACACCAGAAATAGGCTTCACACACTGTATCCATGTGGGGAATTGAACCCATGCCTTCGGCGTGACAAGTGAACGCTTGAATCACTTGGCTACCCCGGTGCCCCTCATGTTGAAAGAACTGGGAGGGAAGTCAGCTGAACAAATTGTTTTGCTGTGATAAGACAATAAAATAAGTAGGTGTCTGTGACCTTTGGAAAATGGCAGTGTATGAAATAAGGCCCGTCCGACCACCTGAGACGGGCTAGATTTCAGATGGACAGTCCAAATTTACAGCTCGCCAGTCCGATGGTCTGGTAAAAATTTTAGGTGTTATATACATCTGAGTCATATCTTGGTGTCTGGTCTAGTTAAGTCCATTTTGGACTGGTAACATTTTGAAGTTACCAGCCCTGATGTCTGGCTGGGGTTTTGGCTTATTTCATACACTGAAAATGGACAAACGTTTTGGCTCAGGATGGATTCAGGTTTCATCCGAGTCACAAATCATTGCAAGAACCTTTCTGGTTAAGCTTCAGACAGAGCTAGATTATCATGAAACATGTTTTACTTCTGTGTTTTGTATCAAATGTCAGTAGCCACAAGTGCCTGCTGAGCTAGTAATACGACACTTTGTCATCACCATATCATAGAGATTGCTCTGGATCTTCTTTAGTGTTTTGGATGTTATGTCTTCAAGAACCACCTGGGTTTAAATTTTGATGCCCAAAATAAACAGGCATTTGACTTAGTTGCATGGTCACTTGGCATCAACTTTATGTTTCCCAGGTCATTGGATATCTTTCATATCTTTACAGAGAAGACATATTGGGTATTTTGACTCAAGTTAATGATGACGTCTCTCGGAAAAAGGGCTATGAGAAAGATGGATGTCGGTATGTGACACAAATCCCATGTCCTGTTTTCACTCTCAAGAAGAAGGTTTTGCTTGATTGTCAATCCACGGTTACCCACCTACAGTACTGAGGAGGATGACTGACACACAAAAGGCATCTGTATAAATAAAGGAATCATACTGTCTTTGTTTCTCATACATGAGTGAGGGTGTTTAGTTTTTATGCTTCTTTTAGCAATATTCCAACAATATCACAGTGGGAGATACCAGAAATGGGCTTCACACATTGTACCCATGTGGGGATTCGAACCCGGGCCTACAGCGTGATAAGCGAACACTTTAGCCATTTGACTACCCCACCACCCCTTCTCATACACGAGGGGACATGAAGAATCCACTGTGCCACAAAGCTCTTTCCTGAACCAATTGTGCATGTCTTTGATTGGGTCCTCAGGTACTCAAGCATGGGTGGGTTTAGAAAGACACCAGTACCCAGCCAGTAATAAAGACAATTATTGGATTGCGTTTGGTTTACCCAGTACTCTTTTGCACCCATGAAGACCTGGGGACGAATTGGTCTTCAGCAACCCATGCTTCTCGTACTGACTTGGTCGACACATGACATTGTATCCCATCTGTTTAGATTGATGCTCATGATGTTGATCATTGGATTGTCTGGTCCAGACTCAATTATTGAGACAGTTGACATATAGATGTTTGATTTGCATTTTAGAAGATGCTATTCGATGAACATAGAGACTTTTCTGGGTTTCATCTTCTTGTTATTGTTTGGTACAACGTTTCAGGGCTTGTTCTGGCCCCATCATCAGGTAGAACTAAAGAACAGTAACTGTTAACTCTGCTCGTGACGACAAAATGCTTATGACGTCACAATGCTATGACGACATATAGCTGGAATATTGCTGAGTGCAGCGTTAAACAAGAAACTATTTTGCCCCCAAGTCCATGAGATGCAGTTTTACCAGAGACAGCAGATACACAGATGTACTAGAGGTTTTTATTGATAAACTTGATCATACATAATATATATCACATGGTGGCACAGTTGCAGTAACTCACCACAAGTAAATGTTTTAATCTTCACACCATACTATGTGAGCTTCATGTGGAACGATTTTAAATAACTATTTGGCAGCAATGTTTTGTCCTGAAGTTGATTTGACAGAATTAAAATAAATATCACAATACTAAAATAGCTGACATGATATAAATTCATACAAAAAATCCACCAGGGACTAAACTTCCAGTACTGAGCTGAAGATCTGAATAATAATAATAATAATAACAATAAATGCCTTTAATTACTAGTCTTTCTCCAGAGCAGCAGTCTTGTGTGTTCCCAATTCATTTTCCTGTGTGTTCTACATGCTATTAAGACTCGACTGCTGGCTTCCAGCTAAACAGATCAGAAGCTGAGTGACGGGTCATAACAGGATGGAGAAATATATCACACTGGATAAAAGAGGATGTCCTCAGTTGGCCAAACCGTTTGTTAAAATCTAATTTGTTTCCATCAGAAATAGTTCAGTGGTAAAAATACCTGTGATGGAATTTTGACATCATCAAAGGCCTATGTTTTTTTCACATAATATAAAAATGTTGACAAGATGCAGCATGGTGTCACAGAAAAATATCCTATCGAGAAGAAGTTAAGGAACACTTGACACTTCCGTATACTATTATTAATCTGTTATACTGTATAATCTGTCATGATGTATGAAACAGTCCAGTGTTCTGTAACTTCCTTTCACTAGTATACATCCACTGATCAAGTTTACCATAAAATTATGCACAAAATCAATAAATGAAAACTAAGTGATTTGACACACATAACGAGAATCAAACAGCACTATTCTCTCAGGACAAAAGACTAATAAATGCATACCCCCTTCAAAAACATTCAACATTCGTGGCATATGTACAATGTGAAATAGTTGGGATCGGAGTCACTGGTATAAAGCGTGAATATGAAAACAACAACAAATCCTCCCTATGAAAGATTTACAATTGTTTCAACATTGCAGTGACTTGACCCCCACGCTATTTATCACAGGAAAATCAAAATCAAATTTCTTGTGAATATGAACACCATGGCTTAGAAATTTGAGTTTATTTTGCTGCCGTCTAAATCTGAAAACACAAACAAACTTAATCGAGGTAGCTAGACAAGGGAATTTATCATCTGCTGATTCATGGCCTAGTCGTTGCTGATTCACTGCGGATAATGAACCCACTCGCACGGCTTAATCAATCTTCCCCTGGAAGGGGTCTGTTGGCGTATTTCACCCACCGAGTCGGCAGGAACTTATGCTGCCTACAACATTCTAAAACTGGAGTAGGAAAAAAAATTGAAATCTTTAAACCAAAACAGATATCACTATCAAATTGATAAACAAAAGGCCAACAATATATTGTGTGATTGTGAACAACATCTTATAGACACATGACAATGTAGAGATAACAAAACCACAAGACATCAATAAGCACTGTTATACAAGTAATAAAATCGATAATGTCTGATGTACAGCAATTGCATATATGGCTGTTCAATCACATCGGCCACATCTTGATAAACATTTCCTCATCCAGTTTGGTTCAGGCTGAGAATACAAACACCCCTATAGTTCATACATATCTTCGTGTTAAGACCCTCGTGATCACCATACTTCATATTTTGAAAGAAATATTGTGCCTGTTTTACTGTAGGATAATGCTTTCCACAACACAACTTCTAACTAGCATTTGTACAGCATAACAAATATATTCACTCAACCTGATTATGTTTCTTGCAAGTTTATCTTCCACAGCAAATTATGTTTGCAAGAACGACCAAGTTTCAACTTCGGCTAATTTCAAAATATTGATGTTCACTTTCCTGATGACACCCACAATAAGATGCTTCATAACGCTGAATACTATTTTGAACATCATCCTTCCATCTAAACAAAAAGATTAAAGTTAATATTGCCTATTGAGACAGACTAAGAATTATTTTCTGACATAACTACCCTAATTGTCACGGAAAAGCAGAATTTTACTAATTATGTAAATAACATACTGACTAGAGAATCTACAAAATGAAAATACATCCAAAACACAACACACAGACACGTTTCACGGAGAACCAAAGCCTACAAGAAAACATAATATTAGTCATTGTGAATTGACACTGAAATATACAGAACATGATCAACATAGAATATTAGAACAGCTGCTAAAAGTAAAGTCCAATACACTTAACACTTTTAATTTAAGTGAAAAGCACAAAATATTGCAATCCTCACAAAAGGAATTACTGAAAAAATAAAAAATGGATTTCAATGTTAAGTTACAAAATAAAATAATACTTAAAAAGACTGACTATCGAACACGCTTACATCAAAGTCATCACATTCCCTGTGGTCTGGCAAACTGTCATTAATAAAAATATGGAACGGTTTTGAGATTACATCATAACAGATTCCATGCCAAAGGCATTTAAAAACAAAAAATAAGCCACAGGCGCCTTTACACCATAAAGTTCTTACGTGTGAAATGTTTTCCCTAATGTAATATTAATGATTAATTATGGCCCAGAGGGAAATGTTAACAGACAGAATGAATTGACAAGACGATGATCAGCACCCCTCACAACCAACTCTACATTCAGTGTAAAGGTAAAAACAGAAAAATTAAAACAAAGAAAAATGACAACAGAAAAAATGGTCTACAAGTGAACTGCAGTATGTTTGGATTGCACTGCAGATGAAGATGCGTCACAAAAATTGCACAAGAAAACACACAGATAAAAAGGTTCATACACGTGTCTTGCCTGTTCTGTTTTCAATAAAACAAGCAAACATAAAGCCATCGTCAATCTGGATTGTCTTTTTATACAAAATCTACAAAAGCAATATTTTACGCTACATTTTTTACCAACACGTTCAACTCTCCATCATGTCATAGTCAACAACAAAGGACAACTGAACATGAGCTGTGAGCAACATAATGTTCTTCTGTCATGTTCCAACAGTGAGCGGCTATGACATCCTGTGTATCCGGTACACGGCAAGGTATCTTAACCATACACTTGACACCATGGATCACAACTCTACCACAGCAATGATGATTGCATGATTCTGATAATAATCAAATTTCCATTTTAAGCTTTTTCACAAAAACCATGCATATGAATATATCGATAGCCTACATATTGACCCAAAGCACTCAGTTCAGTGTTAAAATAAGAGAAACCTACAGTGAGATTTAAATCCCAAATTTAAAAAACAAGTTCATATCCCATTTTAAACTTCATTTAAACAAAGTAAATAATTTTATAACATGCTTGAGCCAATAAATTATTTCATTCTTACCTAAAATTTATGCTCAGTCGTTGCAGGTGACACATATTCAGAACTGTACATAACTATTTGTAGATAAATAAAATATGTAATAGAACCATGTAGCCATGATATTTAGGCCAGAGACTGAGTTTAGTTTTACGCCGCGTTTAGCAACATTCCAGCAATATCACGGCGGGGGACACCAGAAATAGGCTTCACACATTGTGCCCATGTGGGGAATCGAACCCGGGTCTTCGGGGTGACGAGCCAACGCTTTAACCACTAGACTACCCCACCACCCCTTTAGGCCAGAGAGTTAACATGTTTCTTGGAATTCTTGAACTGCATCATTTAACTATTTAGCCCCAAACTTGTTGATTCAAATATCCATGACACCCTAACCCAATGATGATCATACATTGAGAGTCATTAATCTTTGCTGGTGCAATCCCATTGCTCAGATATTGAGCAGAGGTATGGAGAAATTGGGTTCTGGCCATGTCCAAGGTTGTTAGAGTGAGTGAGTTTAGTTCTATGCTGCTTTTAGCAACATTCCAGCAATATCACGGCAGGGACACCAGAAATGGGCTTCACATAATGTGCCCATGTCGGGAATCGAACCCGGTCTTCGGCGTGACAAGCAAACATTTTAACCACTATGCTACCCCACCACCCCTCCAAGGTTGTCGTAACGTTCACCCTGCTTGCTTGTACCAGTCCATGCTGAAGCTGGTTTGATGGTTCCAGCCCACAGCTAAACACTGAGACACCACACTGTATTACTGTATTCAGAGTCAAGACAGACCAGGCAGGGCAACATAAAGTACCATGACCAGGGATCAAACCACCTTCAAACACTTATCCACAAGGCCATGGAGGCAGGCCCTCAGATATTGAATAAAGAGCATTTATCCATACATGTTAAGAACACCACAACCAACTGACAAATTGCCTCACTGGGCCATAAATTAACATCCCTGATACAACAGGCCCTAAGAAGATTCAGAGGATCCTCCAGGACGAGTCCAGCTATATTCCATCCCCAGAATGATTGTATCCCCAAAGAAAATGATTTTCTTCATTCTTAAAAATAAGTTTCAACATTCCATGCACAGTTACACAATATTCCACCAACACAATATTCCTTGCTCAACACGTTTTGATTTACTATTAATTTCCATGGATAAAGTAGCATAACTGGGAACTCCAGGACTGGAGATTGTCTGTACAGACAGAATTTAAACTAGTCCCTCAAGCTTCTTGACAAGATCAGTTACAGTCAGATCTTGCCCATACAGAAAATACTAATATATGACTTGTATTATGATAAATGTGATAGCTTATAACTTATGCATAACAATCTGATCACCGTTTGTTACACCCATACGAAAATAATATGACTTATGCTCTATGGACAAAAATGTTTTGGCAAATGTAATATGAGACAATGAACATCACAAGAAATATGAAGCTGCTCTAAATCGTTCTGAGAACAATCTATTAAAATCAGATTCACCAGGTCAATTCTGAAAGCCCAACCATCTGCTTCCACAATGGATCACAATACAAGGTATATCTGGATTTGTTGCAGGTTTCGGTTAATCACCATTTGTGAATCAACATGATAAAGATCTGATTTATGTGAGATTGATTTAAAAACATCATAAAACCAGTGAAGATAAAAGCAAACAAGTTTAAAATATTCACATACTAATTCTTAAACCATCAAAATGGCTTGGGTAGCCAGCAAATGGTGACTTGTCATTCTCCTTCCCTTCAATTACAGAGTTTCAGTTCTTGAAATCTGGTAATCAAATGCAAATTGACACAATAATTCTGGAAAACGTACATAAAACATGTTTGCCTTACTATGGATAAAATTAAATATTTTTTTTTATAATTAATGCAGATTTACAGCAGGTTCATAAACTAAAAACCATGGAGATAAAACAAGGAATAAAAACCATTTGTCAACATACAACATTCCACTATTTGTTCCAGTTTGTTTCAAAATATTGTCACCAAGTTTGATGTAAATTGGTGCAGTAACTCTCTTGAACAAGGACCATATGTATCTTATGATTCATCTTCGACAGTCCTTAATACAACTTGGGCAACAAGTTACTGGTTACCACACCAAGTCCAGAAACTATCCAGAACCTGAAGGCAAGGCTTTGCTTTAAGAAGAATATAGCACTTTTCTCTCCACACCTTGCTCTTAGTAACAACAGTGAACACTTGTAACTTGAGTCTTAAAATATCTCAAAACGTATGTCACTGAACGTCCAGATGACTGGAAATTTCGATGGGTGTAGCACTGGCTTGAAAACTCAAATGAGTTTTGATTGAATATACAAATTTGGGCTGAACACCCAATGGGATGTAATATCACATTGTCAGCTTCATATGAATGGATAGCCCAACATAATATAGGTTGTAGATTTTCGGGGTGAATCTGTGAGCACTGGTATGAAGTCCAGGGATCATCCTCAGAGTTAATCTGCACTTCAAACCTTGCAGAATCAGACACAGCCTTTAAAAACTGTTGCAGCACCCAACAGGTGACAGTCTTAACTGAAAGTGACTATCAGCACAATGTTTTGAAACAAACGAAAACCTTTTGATGAATTTGTGTGATATATGTCAGGGCTTGTTGAGTCACCCACTTGCAGTTTCACGAAACATTCACTGATGTTATCGCTTGCAATTCTCGATCAGCAGTCCATTACCATAAGTAGGTCGAGCCATGACCTTGACATTCAAATACTACAAGGAGGCATTATGAATTCATTGACCTTGACAGCACTCATGTGTTACATTCACACTACTGATGCATAGCCTCTTTAACATCACTCATTTCGACAATGCAGTTTTCATCACCTGATTAACTATTGGAGTTACCCCCCTTTGATTATCAGTTATCGCCCTTCCACACATTCCAAAACTTGGGTTAGTTCTACTATATACAAAACAAGTTGACCTAAAGAAAACTTATTTACACTTTAGTATCCTCATTATCTGGAGAACTCAAGTTCCCAATGTCACTTGGAGGGTCCACAACAATTTGTGGGGTCTTAATTAGAGATTCTTTCTCTTCTGGGCCATCATCATCGATGTAAAATTTAACTGGATGACCCTTCTTCTTTGGTGGTGACCGTGGGTGTTCCTCTTCCTCTTCGTCCTCCTCTGACACGGCCTGTGGGCTGCCTGGGATTGGTGGAAGAGACTCGTGGTCTTTCTCACTGTGCTTCTTCTTGCCATGCTTCTTCTTCCTGCAAAGAGGATATCAATTGTTCACAAGACACAACACAGACAATATAGAAATTTATATCCCAGTTTACGGTTGTCAACAGCCAGTATATCTCATAGTCTCATCAATTGTACACCAGACAATATAGCCATATATATCCCAGTTTACGGTTGTCAACAGCCAGTATATCTCATAGACTCATCAGTTGCACACCAGACAATATAGCCATATATATCCCAGTTTACGGTTGTCAACAGCCAACAGAATTATTATCATAACAATTAGTATGTCAGCCTTAAAAAAGACTTGGTTGATCCCAGCTGCATAGATCAATGGTCATGATGTCGATTACTGGATTGTCTGGTCAAGATCCAATTATTTAAAGACAGCCAACTGGACTACTGCTGAGTGCGGCGTTTAAGAAGGACAAACAAGAAAACAAAGTTATCAATATCCTCTGCAATGGCAAAGTGGAAGGTGAGTATTGAAAGGATTTTAAAGTGGAAACGCCAAAAATATTTTATTCAGAATTCCAAAGCTACCAAAAGGCACCAGTACACCACCAGATCTATGTATGTGCCAAGTTTGGTGAAGAAATAGTGAACAGTTTTAGAGTTCTGCTCCGGAAAAGAGCACTACCACCAATTTCAGTTTTAGTCAAAGTTGTTGCCATGGAAATGCCAAAAATATTTTATTTAGAAATTTTAGTCAAATTTGTTGCCATGGAAATAGTGAGCGGTTTTAGAGTTCTGCTCGGAAAAGAGGACTACCACCAATTTCAGTGTAAGTGAAACTTGTTGCCATGGAAACGCAAAAAATATTTTATTCAGAATTCCAAAACTACCAAAAGGCACCAGTACACCACCAGATCCATGTATGTGCCAAGTTGGGTGAAGAAATATTGAATGGTTTTAGAGTTCTGCTCCGGAAAAGACAAATGTGCACGGACGGACGGAGTCCATTTTAATACCCCCCGCAAAATGCGTTGAGGGGGATAACAAACAAACAAATAAACAAACCAATCACGTAACATGCCACCACATCCCACTTACTTCTTGGAGCTGGATCGGTGCTCCACATCAGAGATGAGGTTGGAGGAGGAGTCGTTGGCTACAATGGTCTTCCACAGGGCAGTCTTGGCCATCTCCTCAGAGATATTCACCGAGTCGAGGTTAGGATCCGTGGATATTGCCATGGTGAAAGAGTTTCCGGTCATGCCACCACCCACTCCATCCACCATGCTTAATCTCTCCTGGGATAGGAAATCGTTTGTTAGTTGTGATATGTGGAGAGGTGAAACTGGGTTCAATACTGCATTGCTGCATGGAGGGATACTGCACGGATATAGTTGCATGCATGCTTATAATAGTCTGAATGAGAGCCCAGGCCAAATTTGGTTGCAGCTCATTACTCATTTAATCACTACTCATGAAGAGAAGAGTTACTGACTAACAATTCTACCTCGGAACCAGAACACACACATAGAAGGCTTGCAGTGAGTGTGATTTTACGCTGCTTTTAGCAATATTCCAGCAATATCACAGCGGGGAACACCAGAAATGGGCTTCACATATTGCACCCATGTAGGGAATCGAACCCGGGTCTTCGGCGTGATGAGTGAACGCTTTAACCACTAGGCTACCCACTGCCCCCTAAAATGCTTGCAGGGTACTCAGTTAATGAGAGCCCAGGTCCATTATCGTTACAACTTACATAATCATCTCCCTCAACAAGCATAAGTAAACTGGGGACCGCATGTACCTTGAATTCCTTACAGGGCCCAATAACATGTGGATGTGCTGCTGGCATACAATACATATACTCAAACAGAAACACACTGTAACAAGCCTTTCCTTATGTTACTCAGAACCTGTGCAGATCCGGGTGAGAATTTGTCGTAAGAGGCTTGATCACAAGATTGTCTGGTCCAGACTCGATATATCTACACACCATATAGCTGAGTGCAGCATGAAACAACAAACAAATATCATGTTGGTCAGCTGTCAAGTCAAGATGGCAACCAGGAATGAAATGCCAAAGTTATTCTGATTTTGCCATGGTTACCTCCTCCTTCTGTTTTTCCTCGTCCTCCTGTGCCCGCTTGTGGGACTCGGGCATGATGTCGTCCAGCCACTTGAGTTCACGTTGGGTGAAGACATAGTCCATGCCTTTCCTCACAAAGCACATGGCCAGCACCTGTAGGCAGCAAAACAAATGGCATCATCAGAACAGTTTAGGTAGTTTAAGGAAGGGAATATACATCGAAACAGTTATCATTTCAAAGAATACTACTGCTTTGGCAGCAGTCACACTACAGCTACTAACTCCAGATTTTGAAGTCAACTTTACATAACTTTTTAGAATGTCCTATTTCTGCCCCATTCTTAAGCACACAATAGAAATAATATTAATTACAACATACAGAATTGAGATATTTCTTTCAGTACGAAGATCCCTGCCTTCATAGCAACTAGAATTAGTGAGTTTAGTTTTTAAGTAATATATTCCAGCAATATTCAAGCTAGAGACACCAAAAATAGGCTTCACACATTGTACCCATGTGGGGAATCAAACTGGGGTCTTTGACAAGTGAACACTTTACCCACTAGGCTACCCCACCATCCTTTAACTATAATGAACACTGTGTGTGATAGGACTTACCATTATTGGAAAAGCAATGGATATTTTCTTGATAGTCTTGATGACCCACAGAATAGACAGACAGAGAATCTGAACTGCTGTAAACATATGAACCCTTCCAATGCGCACATGTCGCAGGTACATGAGGTCAGTCTGGTACTTGGCCGGCATGAAGAGGATCATCACACGGTCCACCAGCTCCATGCCCGGAGTGAGGACACACCCATGTACAGGAACACACCATACAGAATCGGCATGGGGATATACTGGAGACATGGAGGTATTGTAGTCAGCAAGAAGCCACACAAAGTCATACTAAATATAGCCTACATCAGCTGTCTGGAGGTAGCAATATAACATTTATATCAGCCAGCTGTCTGGAGGTAGCAATAAAACATTTATATCAGCTGTCTGAGGTAGCAATATAACATTTATATCACATCTGCCTGGAGGTAGTTGTCTGGAGGTAGCAATATAACATTTATATCAGCTGTCTGGAGGTAACAATATAACATTTATATCACATCTGCCTGGAGGTAGCAATATAACATTTATATCCATCTGCCTGGAGGTAGCAATATAACATTTATATCATCTGTCTGGAGGTAGCAATATAACATTTATATCACATCTGTCTGGAGGTAGCAATATAACATTTATATCACAGGTAGGATTATTCAAACATTATTCCACAAAACAATGTCTTGCAACAATATTTCAAATTTTGGCAAATTCAAAAAGCAATTCTATAGTTCTTATTTTGTATGCAATTCTAATAACTTTCCAAACTAAATCTCATTTCAAAACAATTATTTTGCCCATTTTGAGCGATATGGCATAACCTTCCCAACTGACCTTGAGGATGGACGTGAGAAGCACAGAGAGGCCGATCATCAAGAAGATCATGACTCCTGTGACTCTCTGTTCCCTGGAAGCAGACAATTGTTAACAATGTACAAATACAATAGACAGATGATGAGTTTTGTCCAACAAGGGATAATAAAGAGAGCCTTACACTAATCATAGATTAGGTGTTACTCGTTAGAAACAATACTTGCTAACTGAATAATGACTGACTGACTGACTGAGTTTGGTTTTACGCCGCTTTTAGCAATATTCCAGCAACATCACGGCGGGGGGCACCAGAAATGGGCTTCACACATTGTACCCATGTGGGGATTCGAACCCGGATCTTCGGCGTGACGAGCCAACGCTTTAACCACTAGGCTACCCCACCGCCCCTGAATAATGAAATGTGGAGGACAGCAGTTTACTTTGTAAACTACCAGGGCATCCTATGTCCATCTGGATCACCTCTTTATAGCCAATACAGCTTCTAAATTGCCACTTTAACTTATTGCGCTGCCTCTGTGACCAAATGGTGCCTGTGGGTGTATATGTACACTAAGCAAACCTACCTGACCCCCAGGAACCTGGGTTTCTCCCCTGGGGCTGAGCACTGCGACTCCTTCTTCAAACTGTTGACATGGTTGATGGAGAGCACGGTGGCAGCAACGAACCAGGGCAAGCCCATGAAGGAGTTTACAATGATCAGAGCTGCCACAAGCAGCAGATCAAGGTGGTAGCCATGACCTTTCTGCAAACAATAGTCACATTTGTATTATAAAAAGAAACATCACGCAAGTAATGAAGCCAACCCGGGAATTGTTTACAGCGAGTGAGTGAGTGAGTGAGTGAGCGCGCGAGATTGAGAGAGCGAGTCCACAATTTATGCTGGGATGGAGAGGAGCGGAGCTGAGTGAGTGGAGTGCAGTGGAGCAAAACTCATCTGGCTCACTGTTTATAGTGGAGTGGAGAGGTACCGAGTTCAGTAATACCCAACATATCAGGTTCATGCTTGAAGAAAGCCAGTCTCTGGAGTTTACCATACATGTGAGTAAGTGAGTGAGTTTAGTTTTACGCCACACTCAGCAATATTCCAGCTATATGGCAGCGGTCTGTAAATAATTGAGTCTGGACCAGACAATCCAGTGATCAACAGCATGAGCATCGATCTGCGCAATTGGAAACCGATGACATGTGTCAACCAAGTCAGGGAGCCTGACCACCCGATCCTGTTAGTTGCCACTTACGACAAACATAGTCGCCTTTTGTGGCAAGCATGAGTTGCTGAAGACCTATTCTACCCCGGATCTTCACGGGTCTTACCATACATGTAAAAATCAAGGGCATGGTATGGAGCTAACAAACCAAACATTCCTGGGTGTATCTGGAATTCAAACCCACAATCATGGGTTCCTGGGATGCCTAAGGGAGACAACTCTGTGCAGTGAATTGTAAATTGTGGCACCTTATATGATCGAACACAGTAATTTACTCTATTAAAAAAGAATTATAATTGATTTATATCAATAACAACAAAATTGCTCTCGCACAGTAAATTTGACCAAAACAATCGGTGGGAAGAGGGCACTATGAAATTCTACTACCACTCGTAAACAATAGTGAAGGTTTCCGTCATGACAGTCTGCTCACCACCAGCTTATTCTCCTTCCTGTTGACAATGACGGCGGTGATCTGCTGATCCATGAAGATGAGGATGGTGGCGAGAGGGCGGGGATGACTGCTGCTATCGCTGTCCACCAGGGGTTGCGACCAATAGGCGACACCACCCAGTTCCTGTTGGGATTCGTTGGCTATGGGCAGAACATGGAAGATTTACATACATACATTGTGCTGTAACAGACTGAGTAAGGTTGTATGTCTATATTAAAAGCTTTCAGTATATTCCAGCGCTAGGGGATTCTAGAAATGAGCTTCACACATTGTACCTATATGGGCAATTAAACCTGGGTCTTCGGTGTGACGAGTGAATGCCTTAACTGTTAGGCTACCCCACCACTCCCCGAATTTGTGAAGTCTTATCTCAAATTCCGAGAAGAGAGACCATATTGAGGATAGGTTGCGTTCCTGCCAGGTTTGTTGGTTTTTCAACGCATTAACCAGCAATATTCTAACTATATGAGTGGATCATGTCTGGCCCAGATATTGTCAGGGAAAATGACATGTAATCACAAGGGTGACTGACTGACTGAGTTTGGTTTTACGCCGCTTTTAGCAATATTCCAGCAACATCGGGGGGACACCAGAAATGGGCTTCACACATTGTACCCATGTGGGATTCAAACCCGGGTCTATGGCGTGACGAGCCAACGCTTTAACCACTAGGCTACCCCACCGCCCCCACAAGGGTGAAAATAACCCATTGTCCGACATCCGAGTCCAGTGTTTTTTTCTGTCGGGCAAGCAAATTTGTATATCACACTGTACCAGTGTCCAGTGACTTTCCAATATTAATTATGTTGTTTATTTAAAAAATCAACAAGAAAACAGCCTGTCAAGTGGAAAAATTATCAGGGCAAGTGATTTTACATGTGCCATTGTACCGGAGTACACTAGCAATTTTAAAGTTATTTCCACCCCTGAATCAACCATGTCACAGCATCTGTCCATGGATCCATAAACTTGCCTGACACTTTACTGGGAAGCTGGAATTCCCACAGGGGAAATAACTCATAATACATCTACAACATTCTGTATAAAAAATGATAATGCAATATTACCTTCACCTTCTTAAAGGCAAAATAATTATTTGTGATTTTCATGTGGCCATTGATGGGTACTCACAGCGAATGTTTCTGGTACTTCTAGTTTGGGGGTGTTGAGACCCACAACAATGTCAACAACAAGCATGGCGACGATGGCGATAAGTACAGCGAAGTCACTTACAACAGACCGCACCTGGTGACAAGAATGAGAGTGAGTGAGTGAGTTTAGTTTTACTCTGCTTTTAGCAATATCATGGCGGGAGACTCCACAAATGGCCTTCACCCATGTGGGGAATCGAACACGGGTCTTCGGCATGGCAAGCAAACGCCTTACCCACTAAGACTACTGAACTCGACTGGCTGTATCAACCAGTGAATTAAATGTCTTCAAGTGCAACTGAATTCCACACCAAGAATTGAAATGAGAAAAATCGGACCAACACATGGGTCGAGTATAAGTTTTTATGCTGGTAGTGCAAAAACCTACTGGTCCTCATACAGTACGATTTTCAAATTTCAATCTTTCAAGACTCAAAAGGTCATCTCAAAATATTGATAGGGAAATCAACGACAATAAATAATTTACAGCATGTGTCCAACAACCTACAGTTTTTTTCTACTAGCCTTCAGCCTTTGGGCAAGCATTCATTTTCATCACTTTATATATACCAATGAAAAACCTCAACAAAACACACAAGCCAATGACTTTGATACCCTCATATACCAGTGAATATATCAGCATAAGCCACTTAATACAACACCCATATCATCCACTCAATACAACACATTCATAAAAGACATGGTATAAAAACATATCACCCATAGAATAAAATAGATGCATTTACCCAGTTTAGTGGTTTAGTCTCGATTCAAATTACCGCCATGATTTAAAAAAAATAAAATATGCCTGTATTTATGTTGGGAAACAATTTGGATTTGTTGGGCACAAATGTGGACATTATGTTGCCTACCATTGTGGGGAAGAATGAGCTGTTGCGCGACATCTTCAGCACCATTGCAATCGTGAAAGTCCCCAGAAAGAGAATAAAGGAGAAGAAGAAGACGTCAGCAACGTAATTAGGAACGCCACATCCTGGGCCCTCCATGGTTCCATTGAACTTAGAACAGTTGTCTTTCATAAGAGTGTCCCAGTTTAACAATAAGGTTTGGTTCTCATCCAGGTACACTGTGGGCTTGGAACGGTTAAACCATTCACTGGTGACGTTATATGTAGTATTTACAGGTATGCAGAAACACCTATAGTCCAGAGGATCGTCTGGTTTGAGGTTGACAGGGTCCTCGTCCAGGATGTGAAACAGCTTCTTGAAAGCCTCGATAATGAAGATAAGGGAAATGAGGGCAGCAAAGCTTTCTTCTGTGAAGCGGGTTATGTATCGGACCAGGGCGCTGAGATCGAAGGCTACCATAAATATGAGGATGATCCCAGTCCACAAACCAATCCACAATCGCAGCTGGAGGTAGTCTAGATCATTCTCACTGAAAAAAAACCCATTCAGGATGTTAATATGGTTTCTGTCATCCCAAACAATATCAAGCAACAATTATCATAATCAGAAATCAGCAAAAATATTTAAATAATATGGCTCCCACCTCATGGTGCCATTGTACAAAGTGAACTTTAACATGGACTTATGATAGTTGTAGCTCCAAGGTTCAACTTCACCCAGGTCTTTGGTTGATCCCAGTCAATCCATGAACACATGAAGAGACTTTTAGCAATATTCCAGGAATATCACGGCAGGGGACACCAGAAATGGGCTTCACATATTATACCCATGTGGGGAATTGAACCCGGGTCTTCGGCATGACGAGCGAACACTTTAACCAGTAGACTACCCCACTGCCCATGTTACCAAGAATGTCCACAGGGGTAGTGACGTTACTTACTGACAGAAGTGGTTGAGGATGGTCTCAAACACCAGCACAGGTCCTGTGCTACCCAGTATAGTGAGGGGTTGCCCAGCAAACAGTGAGTACACAATTCCACAGATGGCACCGGCCAGGATACTTTCAAGAGCTGCCTATAACACCAAACACACAATACTCTTTGAGGATGCATCAAATAACACTGGTTGCCCAGATTACTGGACGATCACAACTATCACCAGTGGTGGGCTCCACACACTTTACCCATGTGGGGAATTCAGTGTGATAAGGGACCAAAAGGTGGATCAATCCCAAGGCCATCTTATTCGGTTAGACTTAAAATGTTGTACTTGGTGTTTCTAAACTTTAGACTTAAAATGTTGTACTTGTTTTTACTCAACTTTAGACTTAAAATGTTGTACTTGTTGTTTCTAAAGTTCGGACTTAAAGTGTTGTACTTGTTTTTCCTCAACTTTAGACTTAAAATGTTGTACTTGTTGTTTCTAAAGTTCGGACTTAAAGTGTTGTACTTGTTTTTCCTCAACTTTAGACTTAAAATGTTGTACTTGTTGTTTCTAAAGTTCGGACTTAAAGTGTTGTACTTGTTTTTCCTCAACTTTAGACTTAAAATGTTGTACTTTTTGTTTCTAAACTTCAGGCTTAAAATGTTGTACTTGTTGTTTCTAAAGTTCGGACTTAAAGTGTTGTACTTGTTGTTTGTAAACTTCAGGCTTAAAATGTTGTATTTGTTGTTTCTAAAGTTCGGACTTAAAGTGTTGTACTTTTTGTTTCTAAACTTTAGACTTAAAATGTTGTACTTGTTGTTTCTTAACTTCAGGCTTAAAATGTTGTACTTGTTGTTTCTAAAGTTCGGACTTAAAGTGTTGTACTTGTTATTCCTCAACTTGAGACTTAAAATGTTGTATTTGTTGTTTCTAAACTTTAGACTTAAAGTGTTGTACTTGTTGTTTCTAAACTTTAGACTTAAAATGTTGTACTTGTTGTTTCTAAAGTTCAGACTTAAAGTGTTGTACTTGTTGTTTCTAAACTTTAGACTTAAAATGTTGTACTTGTTGTTTCTAAAGTTCGGACTTAAAGTGTTGTACTTTTTGTTTCTAAACTTCAGGCTTAAAATGTTGTACTTTTTGTTTCTAAACTTCAGGCTTAAAATGTTGTACTTGTTGGATTTAAAATTTTGTACTTGTTGTTTCTCAACTTGAGACTTAAAATGTTGTACTTGTTGTTTCCTGATCTGGGAATATAACATTAACAGTTTGGCTTTAAATCAATGTGTAGGGTGTCCAAGTTATGGATCAGTGGTCAGTAGTGTAAAAAGTGTTTACCAACCTATTGGTCTTGAACCACTGCTTAGTACCTGTTTATATTGGTCTTGGACCACTGCGTAGTACCTGTCTATTGGTCTTGGACCTCTGCTTAGTACCTGCCTATACTGGTCTTGGACCACTGCGTAGTACCAGCCTATTGGTCTTGGATCACTGCTTAATACCTGCCTATTGGTCTTGGATCACTACTTAGTACCTGCCTATTGGTCTTGGACCACTGCCTCATACCTGCCTATTGGTCTTGGATGACTACTTAGTACCTGTCTATTGGTCTTGGATCACTACTTAGTACCTGTCTATTGGTCTTGGACCTCTGCTTAGTACCTGCCTATAGGTCCTTGACCAGTGCTTAGTACCAGCCTATAGGTCCTTGACCAGTGCTTAGTACCTGCCTATAGGTCCTTGACCAGTGCTTAGTACCTGCCTATAGGTCCTTGACCAGTGCTTAGTACCTGCCTATAGGTCCTTGACCAGTGCTTAGTACCTGCCCATTGGTCTTGGACCTCTGCTTAGTACCTGCCTATTGGTCTCGGACCACTACTCAATACCTGTCTATTGGTCTTGGATCACTACTTAGTACCTGTCTATTGGTCTTGGACCAGTGCTTAGTACCAGCCTTTAGGTCCTTGACCAGTGCTTAGTACCAGCCTATAGGTCCTTGACCAGTGCTTAGTACCTGCCTATTGGTCTCGGACCACTACTCAATACCTGCCTATTGGTCTTGGATGACTACTTAGTACCTGCCTATTGGTCTTGGACCTCTGCTTAGTACCTGTCTATTGGTCTTGGACCAGTGCTTAGTACCAGCCTTTAGGTCCTTGACCAGTGCTTAGTACCAGCCTTTAGGTCCTTGACCAGTGCTTAGTACCAGCCTATAGGTCCTTGACCAGTGCTTAGTACCTGCATATTTATCAGGGAACACTGGAAATGTATCATCCTATTGGTCTTGGACCACTACTTAATACCTGCATATTAATCAGGGAACACTGGAAATGTATCATCCTATTGGTCTTGGACCACTACTTAGTACCTGCCTGTTGGTCTTGGACCACTACTTAGTACCAGCCTGTTGGTCTTGGACCACTACTTAGTACCTGCCTGTTGGTCTTGGACCACTTCTTAGTACCAGCCTGTTGGTCTTGGACCACTACTTAGTACCAGCCTGTTGGTCTTGGACCACTACTTAGTACCTGCCTGTTGGTCTTGGACCACTACTTAGTAGCTGCCTGTTGGTCTTGGACCACTACTTAGTACCTGCCTATTTGTCAAGGAACACTAGAAATGCACCATCCTATTAGTCAGGTACCACTGCTTAGTACCTGCCTATCAGTCAGGGAACACTAATCACCACAATTGTTATGTACACACCATGTTGTTGTCAGTGGCATCAGCGAGCAGCCCTCCAAAAGTGATGATTGGTGTCAAACAGGCGAAGTAGAGGAAAATGAAGGATGCTATACACTGTACACTGAGTGCATCCTTGAAGTCACTCGCCCAATATGGAAATTTCCGTGCAATGTCGTCTCGCAGGCCACCAAATATCCTGTAAAAGGACATGATATATAAGTATGAGAGTGCTTTTCACAACTGAGTCTTAATGATATAGTGAGTGAATGAATTTTGGTGTTACGCTGCTTTTAGGAATTTTACAGCAATATCACGGCGAGGGACACCAGAAGTGGGCTTCACACTTTGTACCCATGTGGAGAATCAAATCAGGGTCTTCGGCATGACGAGCAAACTCTGTAACCACTAGGCCACAACAGCGCCCCCTCAATGATATAGGAATTAAGATCATAGAAAAGGTCATGCTTAACATCTTGCCCTTCTTCACAGTCAAAATGGTTCTTAGACCATGGATGGCTGGGGGTGACTATTTACACTTGCTGAGAAAACTACATTTTTTAAAGACATAAACAAAGAAATAAACGGAGGATAAAATGTTTGATAAACATTTTGTTTGTCTTGGAAACAGCTTAACCCTGATCTTACATTCAACTGACGGCAGCATTTCGAAGAAACTCACCTGCCAGTTCTTTGCAGTGTTGGGTCGTTGTGTTCGTCTGCCTCCTCTTCAATGATCACTTTGCCATTTGGCTGTGGAGGGCCAGCTGAGGCTGTCTTCCTGCCTTCCTGGAAGGGACAGCGAGTGAGTGAGTGAGTGAGTTTTACACCACTTTTAGCAATATTACAGCAATATCATGGTGGTGGGACACCAGTAATTGGCTTCATACATTGAACCCATGTGGGGAATCGAACCAGAGTCTTCTGTGTGACAATCAAAGTTGTAACTACTAAGCCAGGTGACAGACTGAGAAAATGGTCAGCAATATAAAGATGGAACTCCTTTAATTAAAGTAATTGTGATGGGTATGGACTTACTTCGCTCTATATATATAATTTAACAGAAGAGTGAGTTAAAAATTTACATCACATCAGCAATACTTCAGCCATAAAGTGACGATCAACAGAACACAAAGAACACCTTTCATATGACTACTTAATCTGTCATTGCTGTTGAGTATTGTAGTGAGTCAGTATGGTTTTACGTCACTTCTAGCAATATTCCAGCAATATCACAGCAGTATTCCAGCAATATCACAGCAATATTCCAGCAATATCACAGCAGTATTCCAGCAATATCAAAGCAGTATTCCAGCAATATCACAGCAGTATTCCAGCAATATCACAGCAGTATTCCAGCAATATCACAGCAGTATTCCAGCAGCAATATTCCAGCAATATCACAGCAGTATTCCAGCAATATCACAGCAGTATTCCAGCAATATCACAGCAATATTCCAGCAATATCACAGCAATATTCCAGCAATATCACAGCAGTATTCCAGCAATATCACAGCAGTATTCCAGCAATATCACAGCAGTATTCCAGCAATATCACAGCAATATTCCAGCAATATCACAGCAGTATTCCAGCAATATCACAGCAGTATTCCAGCAATATCACAGCAGTATTCCAGTATTCCAGCAATATCACAGCAGTATTCCAGCAATATCACAGCAGTATTCCAGCAATATCACAGCAGTATTCCAGCAATATCACAGCAGTATTCCAGCAATATCACAGCAGTATTCCAGCAATATCACAGCAGTATTCCAGCAATATCACAGCAGTATTCCAGCAATATCACAGCAGTATTCCAGCAATATCACAGCAATATTCCAGCAATATCACAGCAATATTCCAGCAATATCACAGCAGTATTCCAGCAATATCAAAGCGGTGGACACCAGAATGGAGCATAAAACATTGGACAGAAACATGCAGATTGGATGACCACTGACCTGGGACGGTACGTTGGTTGGGGGCTCGATACGGATGCTTGGGTCCCACTCGCCAGGTGGCAGCACCGTCACCTGGTCCAAGAACTCATCAATGCCAGCCAGCAAATCCTCTTTATTTCTGGCATGGTAGGCCACATCGTGGAAAATCTGCCACACAAACCACAAGGATTGTTTCTTTCAAAAACAATTGCTGCTGAATGGTGGTATCTTGCTTCACAGAATTTGTACCCTGCGATCTTCACTGAGCATTGTAATTTTGAGAGCTTCATGTCTATATTTGAATATATGCAAAATAAATCAACTTAACCAAATCAAGTTTGAATTATTTTGTGTACAAATATGCAAGAATAACTGGAATTATAACTAATGTAAAGCTTCATAAACAGGTGATGCTCCCCCCCCCTACATTATTGCGAGGAATGATTAGCTCTCCCAATCTGGCCATGATGAGTGACTGAGTTTTACACTACTTTTAGCAATATTCTAGCAATATCATGGCCGGGGACACCAGAAATGGACTTCACACATTGTACCCATGTGGAGAATCGAACCCAGATCTTCAGCGTGATGAGCCAACACTTTAACCACTAGGCTACCCCACCTCCCCAGAACCTTTGAAGATCCAGGTTAGACTTGGTTACCCCATCGCCCCTGCCCATGATGAAGGCACTTAGGTTGGAACACAGGAAAAATCCCTTTCAGTACTAACTGGACACTCAACTGGACAATTCAGTTTCAGCTTGAATGTGAGATTACCATTCCGATACTCACCTCATCAGACATGAGAGTTGCAATAGACCGTCCAAGCTCATGATACTTATTCTGGTTTCCGGTCGGCCCAAGAAGCACGAACAGGAACCGTGTTGGCACTGGCACCTCAGTGAGGTCCCCCAGTAGGACTGCCTTGGTGAGGCGGACGAAGCCGACAATCTGGTGATTGAGAAAGTCCACCTCTCCTACAAGGATGTTGGAGGCCTCAGCACCAGGGGGGATCTTCTTCATGAAGTGCAGATTCTGGGGAAATCAGGAACTCGTTAAATATCTGGAATATCCTCTGATGGTGTATTTTCAATTTAACTTATCTAAATGTCATGTTTCTGTTTGTAGTCTGGATAGGACCAGCCTTTGACCCTTATTTGCATTTATTATTGCAACAACACAATTGTACAGTTTTGGAGAAAATGCATATAAGCATTGATGTATGCACTCTCAAGCTAATGATAGGTTAGTGCATAACAGAAAGTCTCAGTGCATCAGGTGAAAATTAAATATCTAAATTAACTCAAGAGATAATAATCCTTGTCACATCCACCATTGTTTTCTGTAATGGAAAGCAATATTCCTGGCATATTAGTCAATATTCCAGACTTACTAACTGGTAAGAATCCTGCTAGAAGACACAATTACATAATGCTGAAACCATGGCAACCAGGTTATAACACACACACATACATATTTTGCTTACAATGCAGTAACCTGCAAGAAATGATACTTGAACAATTGCTTGCACACGTGTCATGGAACCTGATCCATAAATCATTGCATGAATACCCGTCTGTGGATCTGGTTAGATAACCAGTATGCAACCTGCTCTCCATTTTAGGCCCTTATTATTTTCTCAAACATTCCCAAATTCACAAGTTGTAAGGATTTTCTGGGTTGTTGTCGTATCCTTGTAAACTGAGGACATCCACAATGTTACTTAACCAGATATTTACTATCCACTTATCCCAATAGTGATTCCTGCAATTTTCCTGCAATTTTCATTGGGGGGGGAAGAGAGAGGAAAAGGAGGAGGAGGGTAAAGACACCAGAAATGGGCTTCACACATTGTGCCCATGTGAGGAATCGAACCCAGGCCTTCGGTGTGATGAGGGAATGCTTTAACCACAAGGCTACCCCACCGTCCCATAACAACCCCATAGACTCAAGCTTATTCAAAGACAGGTGTTAGAGCAAGGCATTTATGCAATGATTTACGGTACTTCGATTCAAATATACATTTCATGAATATGGAGTGGGTGAGTGAATTGTGTTCTGTCATTTATTGCAACATCACACCTTGCCATCCATTAAAGCTTTCAAAATAGTTCATCAAAGTTATATACTTTATGTAAACATTTTTTATCATTCATTTTGATATTTATTTCCAATTCTTACTTTTACAATGCATATGTTTCCCCCACATGCAAAAACCATATCACCTGAACTTTTCTGAGCAGAATGTTAAACATCATGAAATGAATTGCATTATCAAAAGTTCACCATTTCCAAGATAAGTGCACATTTAACATACAAATGCAAAATTAGTTTCAATTTGACAACAATAAAATGCTATGGATTGAATATATATAATATTAAAATGATTTCAAGGAGAATGGCATGCCAAGATGATCATGTACAACAGTTTTAACTCCATTAACTTTGGATACAAAATACATGAATAATATGCCATAATTTGATATTTAGAACATATAAACATACATAGATTAGACAATTAAAGAATACATATTTAGAAAACCAAATGTTGGCCCACACATTGTGACAGTGGTTTGTTGGGGGGTAGATGATGCAGGGTGAATTGTCAAGGGTTATATGAAGACAGGCCACACCACATCTAATCAACAGCTTTACCATGCAAATAAACCATCTGTATCCTCAGTGTCTTTAACATTTCATAGAAAAGTAACCAGAATAGAAAAACATGAATATTCAATGTCACTTATCTGGCAAAAGAAATTAGTTTAAAAAAAGTTGTGCAAAGCCTAACTATGTTAATGATGAAGAAAAAATGTTTACACTAGGATCAGTATAAGTTACAGCATTATTTACTGGTTGTGTCTAAGTCGCCAAAATGTCTATTGGTCTAGTTTAGTAAAGATTATATCTGATGATGGCATTGTGAAGTTCCTAATGTGCTTGGCTATGATTCAGCTGTTTCCACAGTAATGAATCAGGTTAAGAAGTGATGGACAGCGTCTCTAATTATCTTCAGTCAAAGGAGTCAGTGGTAGAATGTAATCCAGTCAAGCCAGGACCTATTAGAGTGTAGGCCATTCACATCAGAGGTGGATTGTGTCAGCAATGATCCACAGTCAAGTCAGGACCTATTGGAGAGTGGGCCAGTCACATCAGTGGTGGATTGTTTCAGCAATGATCCACAGTCAAGTCAGGACCTATTGGATTGTGGGCCAGTCACATCAGTGGTGGATTGTGTCAGCAGTGATCCACAGTCAATCGAGGACCTATTGGAGTTTAGGCCAGTCACATCAGTGGTGGATTGTTTCAGCAATGATCCACAGTCAAGTCAGGACCTATTGGAGTGTAGGCCAGTCACATCAATGGTGGGTTGTGTCAGCAATGATCCACAGTCAAGCCAGGACCTATTGGTGTGTAGGCCAGTCACATCAGTGGTGGATTGTGTCAGCAATGATCCACAGTCAATCCAGGACCTATGTAGGCCAGTCACATCAGTGGTGGATTGTGTCAGGCCAGTCACACCTAGTGGTGGAGTCACATCAGTGGTGTGTGTCAGTAATGATCCACAGTCAAGTCAGGACCTATTGGATGTGTAGGCCAGTCCAGTCACGTCAGTGGTGGATTGTGTCAGCAATGATCCACAGTCAAGCCAGGACCTATTGGTGTGTAGGCCAGGCACATCAGTGGTGGATCCCGTCAGTAATGATCCACAGTCAAGTCAGGACCTATTGGTGTTTAGGCCAGTCACATCAGTGGTGGATCGCGTCAGTAATGATCCACAGTCAATCCAGGACCTATTGGAGTGTAGGCCAGTCACATCAGTGGTGGATCGCGTCAGTAATGATCCACAGTCAATCCAGGACCTATTAGAGTGTAGGCCAGTCATGTCAGTGGTGGATTGTTTCAGCAATGTTCCACAGTCAATCCAGGACCTATTGGCGTGTAGGCCAGTCACAATAGTGGTGGATTGTGTCAGCAATGATCCACAGTCAAGTCAGGACCTATAAGAGTGTAGGCCAGTCACATCAGTGGTGGATTGTGTCAGCGATGAACCACAGTCAAGCCAGGACCTATTGGCGTGTCGGCCAGTCACATCAGTGGTGGATTGTGTCAGCGATGAACCACAGTCAAGCCAGGACCTAATGGTGTTCAGGCCAGTCACATCAATTGTGGTTTGTGTCAGCAATGATCCACAGTCAAATCAAGACCTATTGGCATGTGGGCCAGTCACATCAGTGGTGGATTGTGTCAGCAATGATCTAAGGATCTAACCATTTGGTGGACCCATGTGAATGTCACCCATCAGAGTACTTCAAAAGCTGCAGTGGTGTAATGTTATTGTAACAGACCTAAGATAAGGCAGTAAAAAACTATAAGTGAAGCACAAAAAAAAGGAAAAGAAAAAGTAAGACACTTAAACTGAGGTAGCAGTACAGATAATTTGATTTAGATAATTCTTGACAAGAACATGTTGAACAGAGGTTATACAGGATTAGTTTTAAGGATGTCATCACCCTTTACCATATGTGTTTTGTCCACAGAATTTGTCCCAGCCTGAAAAGGGAAGCAATCAATGTAACTGAAGGTTCATGCAGGTTCATGCAGGCAGTGACAACACTAAATGGTTAATACCCGACTCCCAGTCGTTGTGTCATTTATTACCACAGATACAACACGTTCTATTCTATACTCTACAGCTTGTTACAATGTCCATTTATCTGAGATTAACCTGGCGGGTGAATGAGTGAGTGAGTTTAGTTTTACGCCGCTTTTAGCAATGTTCCAGCAATATCATGGCGAGGGGACACCAGAAATGGGCTTTGCACATTGTGCCATGTGGGAAATCAAAGCCGTGTCTTTGGTGTGACAACCCTACCATACCGGTACCTCCAAGGTAGTAATGTTCACCCTGCTTGTGATGGGTAAATGACCGAGGTTAATGGGAGTAAGTATAATTTTAATGGTGATATACAGAAATGAGCTTCAAACTCATGTATTTACCTTTGTGAATAAGTGAAGACCTTAACCACAAGGTTAGCCTATCAGTGTAAACAGTATTTCAGTGATATCACATTGTGTCAACTATATGGGAGAAGTCCCCTCAGATATCCTGGCCAAGGAGTAAGCATGGGTTAAACAATGAGCTTTTAGTAACATTTCAGCAATAGCATATTGGGGACACTGTGAAGGATCAAACATAGGACTCTAGTGCAAAGACTGTACACTTAACTACTGGGCTATCCCAGTGGCTAGCTACTGAACCAACAGGAAATTAGGTTTGAATTTAATTCCAAATGACACCAAAAGAATTAACAGTAGCCTGTGATTAAAATATAAACTAGAACTAGAATTTTTTTTAGGGGTCTTGTTAAGTGGTGTAACAAATGTTTATAAATCTTCAGGTTGTCTTATCCACAATCAGCAATATTTCAGCTTTACTACATGTCTGAAAGCAAACCAGTGGTTGACAGTACGATCAACAATACATGCCATTGTGTATGAGGACACACAACGAGCCATGAAGACATTTAGGAAAATTTAAAGCATGTCTTAAAGTTAAATAACATCTATTTGGACCAAGTATATATTAAATTGTGTACTCATTTAATTATGAGATGAAACTTCCTAGCGGTGCAATATCACTCTCTCACAAACGTTTTATCAACAACACTCTCCAACCCTTAAATACCTACCGGTAGGTATTAGACGGCATGCACAACCTGGTGTTAGATACCCATTCCTGAGGCAGTAAGTTAACTGATGGTACAGGGCCAGTTTCCATCCTTTGCCAAACAAGGTAGGAATTATGGAGTTAGATTTCAGCCGGACGAACTACTGTCCACTTTACAATCAAAATCACACAACAAATTCCACATCCAGTTCAAAAACAACTTGGCAAATACCATGGTGATTTAGTGTACAGCAGGATTTCCAGATTTACCATCTGTTGGGAGTAGACAGATATTTTTCAAACCATAATATTTTTTAAAGTTATTAAAATGATCTGACACATTTGTGATATAAGACCTAATTTACTATTATAAAGATCTTGATTATTGATTTGAAGCAAATACAAATGTTATCAAAGGTGAAATCTGATTGGTCAATTGGACACTGAAGGGACATAACTCCATGAAGTTCGAAGCTTGTTCAGCAAGGAGGGAAACTGGACATTTAGAGGACATATCTGACTCAGGAAGATGAGTTAGAGTGCATGAACAAATATGGTGCAATGTTGGCATTCACTGTTAGCATTGTGTATGAAATGGGACATATTCTTCCTGTCCACCTTCCAATAAGAGAATAATGTTAGGTACATCAGTGTGTGGCATTAGGGGTAGACCGATAGTCTATGTAATTCACGTTACTCTGTCACAGAATGTGATAGAAACATTATCTGACACTGCTTTCTGATACCTTTTACACTGGTCGTAATAACAAAAGTTAACACTTCTTGTTGTAATGCATCAAGACAACACTTAATAATTGTTAAATATTTTGCCTGTACGCAAACAGTGGGCTAGCCATAATTACCCATACATCCATAGTCTACGGTGCTTACTTCCTTATTGTCACACACTGTTTACAACTCGGGAACAACCAAAGATAAAAACCAACCCATAAATTTTTTATTCTTTTCTGAAATGTAAACATCAAAATATTCTTATTATTTCATTGCTAACAAAACCTAAAACCACAGCAACAACTGCCATGCAGATTGTATGAACATCCTTCCAATAAGCATCCATTTAGAAAACAAGTCAAGATGGAACTGAAGTGGTTAGGACACTTCATGTTCTTTCAAACTTCAACAGGCCCAAAGAGGATATATACTGAGAGAAAGAAATAAAGGATCACAGAAAATTCAAGTGTTCCTTAATTATTTTCCAGTTTTCATCACTACTGTGCTATTCAAAAGGGGGGGGTGAAAACGGGAAAATATTAAAGGAACGCCCATGTGGGGAATTGAAAGTTCCTGTGATTCTTTATTTGTTTCTCTCACTGTATATTCAAAACAATATGCATACAGCTTGGCCAATCCAAAGGCTTGTACAAATATATAAAAATGTAACATTTGTTCCTACAATACTTTTTTTTTCAAATCCTTGTTCACAAATGAAGGAAATTATAAAGTCAAACAAAAATTGCCAACAACCATCTTGGTGAGGTATCAGTAGGAATTTTTGAAGCAGGTCTACCCAAATCATGATGCAACATTGGAAGGAAGAAACATACTCAGAATGAAATGAAAGCTGCTTTTTAAACAGTTACCAAAGACTTTGATATTTTGTTGTCATAAGTGTAAAACATTAATCCTATAAAAACATTGTTCTTTAAGTATATCCTACTGATTAAAGAACAGAAAACAGACTGTTCTTGGCTAATAAATCAGACTGTACAGAAAAGTCAAATTAAAAGGGAGAAACACATTTCAGAGATATCAATTGTTAAATGTAAAAAGTCTCCTAGCACTTTTTCTTTCTATAAAAGCAGCCCCCACATAAGCCAGAACAACGACTACATAATTCAGAATCTACGACTATGTGAGGAATGTAATGCAGGGTATCTGTTTCCAGTCGACCTATATGGATGTCTAACCTTGTGAGATGCATTCTCTGGGATGTCTGTATGGTGAGAGTGAACGAACGAGTTGTTGGACGGGAGATTGTTGCCACCCTCAGTTGTCTCCCCACCACCACTCGCATTGCTGGCCACACGTAACATGTTGGGTGTACTTTTGGCTCCAATACGGTCATCAACTGAAAAAAACAGCCATTCCCATTCTTTGTAAGAGTCTAATACTGACAGTGATTATGATGCTATATTCCAAATAACTGATCTTCAAAGTTTCTGAGCAACTGGAGTAAAAGTAACAATTAGTAAATATTTTTTTAACTTTGCATTTTTCTTACCACTATATTTGTCAAGGATTAGAAAATTTAAAAAAAAGAAATGTATATGATTAAATTTCATCGAAGTACTGTTTGTACTGTGTGATGGTAAAAATGCTCAACAAGAACACATCAAATGATATATGGATGCACAAAGACGTATATATTTTGACTGAAGCAAGAGGCAGGGATTATGGAGTTAGATTTTATCCGGACGAACTATTGTGCACTATACAATCAAAATCGCACAACAAAATCAACATCCCGTTTATATGGCAAATGCCATGGTGATTTCAGTGCAAAGCAGGATTTGCAGGGCATGTGCACCATCTGTTTGGCGTTGACAGATATTTTTCAAACCTTAAATATTTTTACAAGTTGTTCAACAATAAATAACTATAAAATAAACAAGATTCGAAAAAAATCTATGCTATTAAATTTCATCACAATTACTGTTTGTACTGTAGGAAGGTAAATATGCTCAAAATCAACAGACCAAATAAAACCAATTTAATGTAATAATACATGGCAGCATAAAGATGTATATATTTTGACGGAACCAAGAGCTAAGCAAAATCAAAACACTTTGCCATGAAGATTGTGTGTGGTCAGCGACACTTCAGCAACTTAATCCTGATATTCACAACATAACAGATTTTGAAATTCAGTGCACATCAAATTACATTTGTACATGGTATGGCAAGAAAGGGTTGAGCACTGTTTCACCATGTTATTTCTTCTGTAGTAGACACGTTCAAAATAAGGTCTTAGTTCTGTCACATGCAGGGTAAGATGAAATGATAAAGTTACAACACTGATACATTTACACTTAGATTAGATTACCACTACATACTTATGATATTTATTGTAAGGTGTGAGTTGTTGAATTGTATAACACTGCTTCGAGCAGTATTCCAGTTACATCACCGCATCTAAGCTCTCAATAGGAGCAACCGCTGAAGTGATTCTGCTCAGATGACGAGGGACATGTTTATCCGTCTCATCCTGCATGTCATGAATTACTGACCTTGACCTTGAGGTTCAAGTAAGATGAACTCTGGTGTATGTGTGCAGCATAAAGTTAAAGTACAATTTCGCACATCAAAGTGCTCACCTAACATGAACCTCAAGGTCATTAAATACCACCTTTCAACATGATTCGGTTTTATGCTGCCGGGGACGAACCACTGACTTTCCACTCTCCAGGCAGCCGCTCTATCTACTACCAAGGATGCACGAGGCATGCGAGGAATTACGGCAAATAACTACATGCTGGGCCGGAGTACAAAGAGCCACCGAACCTGGATTTAGTTGATCTCCACTAACTGGCTCACCTCCCTGATGAGCGAGTCCTTTTGGCTCGGAATACTTTTTTCCAATGTCAGCCAGGGAACGGATGATTGGCAGGTGGATTTTGCTGGAGTTGTCATCACGTCGATGACGTTTCTCGTTCTGATGATGATGTCGGCAGAGGATGACATCACGTACCTGGTCCTTTAGTGTTTCTTCTAGTTGTTTTGATGCAATCATATTGTCCAGAATCATATCTGCAACAAGGCATTGTCAAATAAATTTCATAAAAATGTCAGGGAAAACAACATCAGTAACTATTCTGATGCAGTCAGCAAATTTCCGACCACATCGCATCAACCTGTACATAACAGTCTGGGTTAGAGTGAGTGAGTGAGTGAGTTTGGTTTTACGCCGCACTCAGCAATATTCCAGCTATATGGCAGCGGTCTGTAAATAATCGAGTCTGGACCAGACAATCCAGTGATCAACAGCATGAGCTTCGATCTGCGCAATTGGCAACTGATGACATGTGTCAAACAAGCCAGCGAGCCTGACCACCCAATCCCCGTTAGTCGCCTCTTACGACAAGCATGGGTTACTGAAGGTAAGAAAAGGTTAGAAAATCCAGTAGTATAACAATCAATACCAAAACAATGCATCATAATATAAAAAATAAGTTGCCATCCATATAGCATCTTGCCATTTTAGTAATTCATTACTCTTTTTGCTACATCAGTTTTTTTTGTGGTAGCTAACCGTTGTGTTGATGCTTGACATAGATATTCAATACCTTGGAGTAACCCCAAAGCAAACACATGTCACCAATAAAAGAGAATCATAATCAGATCAAATTTAGACACATAAACACTTTTAACTTCTGGCAAATGAAAATTTCTGGCATCAAATATTCAAAGAAAACCTGCAAATCTGGAATCAGACAATGTTTATAAATATGATTAAGTACAACATTTGAGTCATTTTCCTTCTGAAGAACTGTCTCACCCAGAAAGGCCATCACATCACCTTGGTATGCAAACACATAAGTTTCCATGGTAACTGAACATGCCTGCTAGCAACAATATGGAAATAAAACAATAAATCAAAAGTGTTCTGAGAAATATTTACAAACTGTAGCAATTAGATTATGTGGATTCCATTTCACCAAGCTAAATGACATATTTATCAAATTTGGTTTGAAGAAACTACTTGTCACACAAAGTATTTATATGCAGTGATAAGTCTGAAAGATATCCAGGAATTGCATAACAGTTCAAAACAGCATATAAACCACCACTACCTGATACCAGCAGCTGAGAGACAACTCCTCAAGTGGTGCATCATAGATCACTTTTCGACTCCTCCTGGCCAGTAATTTCATGGGGTCACTTTGTAAACATATCACCCTCTCCGACTTGTTAAGTTACAATACAATTTTAAGTCATGCAAGATTATGGCCTGAAAAATGTTCATCATATTAGCAGCTTAATGATGAAAGCTGATTTTTGTAATCTTTTGCTTAGTTTCTACATTCAAATATTTGGCTAGGGAATTATTTTGTGGGCTAGTTAGTTTCAGGCAGCTAGCAAAATTTGGAAACTATTTTGCACACTGGTCTGAGCCAGTGCCTACCTGTGACCTGTTCAATGTTGACAGCATCCATGTCCAGTATGATGGTGCCTGTCATAATACAGCATCGGAGTTCGAACAGGGAGTGGAGAGACAGCGTGGCCACATGAGGCTTCGACCACCTCTCTCCACCCTCCTCAACATCCTCCTCAAATTTCACCCATCTGCAAAATGGAAAGACAGAATGTACTAACAGTTGTTTTACATCTTTTCCCTTTTCATCATTAACTCGTCAAAGGGGTGGTAGGGTAGCCTAGTGGTTAAAGTGTTTGCTTGTCTTGCTGAAGACCGGAGTTTGATTCCCCACATGGGTACAGTGTGTAAAGCCCAATTTTGGTGTCCCCCACTGTGATATTGCTGGAATATTACTACAAGTGGTATAAAGCCTTCATCACTCAAACTAGCTCAGCAAAAGGTTCTGAGTACAGGCTCGTCAAAAAAGACTTGCACAAAATTGTTTTATTTCAAAAAAGACGTCACCATTTAGGAGAAAATGAACTACATTTATTGGTTGCATGTCAAGGTCCAAGATCTTAATATTGGCAAAGCAAATGCAGCATTTATTTACTGTTAACAGCATATTGAATTTACATTAAACCAAACAGATCAATACATGGTTAAACAATGGGCTGAAAGGTTATTTCCAACATTGCTGCTTCAATGTTTAATAGACGTTCCCAGTACCAGTTTGAGGGGCAGTGGGGTAGCCTAGTGGTTAAGGCGTTCGCTCGTCACGTGGAACACCCGGGTTCGATTCCCCACATGGGTACAATGTGTGAAGCCCATTACTGGTGTCCCCGCCGTGATATTGCTGAAATATTGCTCAAAGCAGCATAAAACCATACTCACTCACTCACCCAGTACCTGTTTGATGAAAGGAGTTTATTAAGATGTCAGTAATCCTACAACCAGCTTGTTGCCTTTGTAACACAACATGACAGAGATACATGTGCATATAAACTAAATATTCTTCAAAGCAATCACAACGTAAGTACTGTTGAAAAAGAGCATGAAAGTCAAGAGGTCCTTGTCATAAACCTAATGTTCAGTGACAGAGGCTGAGCAGGGTCGCCAGATTCAAATATCAGAGACACAATCCTCAAAATGCCCTTTATTTTGAAAACTGTTAAACAATCTATAATTGTTCTCATTTAGAATTGTGAAACATAAAAGTTGTCTTTACAAACAATTTGCTGCATATATCGAATCAAAAAATAATTTCCCAAAATGTACAATCACAGGTTCCATTATCGACTGAATTCAATCTGTAAACACCAACATGCAATCTTAACCTACACCTTCTACATTGATTTCTCACATAAATCTTTATTCCAAATGAATTAAAAATTTATTTAAAAATGCAAATATTTTATTTTCTGAGCTGCACTTTTGTGAAATCCATTTAGAATTCAAATTGATGGAATTTGGATGGCTGGAAAGTCCAATACCTCCTGTACCATTCCTCCAAAGGAACAAGACTGCTTTGACCTTAGAATAGAATTTGTGAGAAGACGGGCAATCAGAACAACACTCTTTTAAGCAAATCAAATTTGTGAAAGCATTAAAACCTAATGCTGTTACTATTTGAACAGCAAAGTGCTGCCATCAATATTTCCTCTTATAAGATTCGATAAATTCTTATACAGGTGTTAATGGGTTCATGGACAAAATGTATGACAACTACATCATTTGACGAGCATGCTAAGCTAAATACTATCTGGGCCCCCGTTCACTTGGCAATCAGAGTATTAAGACTGTCACTTTAGGCCTGTATTGAGGCTACAGTCAACAGAAGCCATCCAAGAGGGTGATATTGTGAACACATGGTTTGAGAAGGTCACGGATTGGTTGTCAGGCATTGTGTACCACTACAATTAAACCAACTACCACTAAATTTAGCAATATTGAGTGAGTATGGTTTTATGCCGCTTGAAGCAATATTCCAGCAATTTCACAGCGGGGAGTGTTTCAGGCCGTATTGATGACTTCCGCTGACTTCATTATTTATCAGACACTGTGTCTGGCGGCCTAAAATTTTACCGGTCATGAATGAACTTTGCCAGTCATATCCTATCACCATACTGCAAGTACTCATTTTAAAGTTATTTCAGTCTGCATATTTCCAAAACATAACAATTTTTGTGACCATGAAAGCACAGCCAAGACTGTCATTTCGCTCACCCATGATTTTTTCTTTTTAAAACATGATTATGTAGCGGACACAGTGTCCGGCTGGCTTTCAATTTACCGGTCCCCAACAAGTTTTACCGGCGATTTGCAGGTATATACCGGAGAACGGAAACACCGGATGAGCAAACGCTTTAACCACTAGGCTACCCCACCGCCCTCGCAATTTTGAGTGGGTGAATTAGGTTTTACGTCGCTTTTAGCAATATTCCTGCACTGTTCCAGCAGGGACACAATAAAATGTGTTTCCCACATTGTACCCATGTCAGGAATTGAATCCGGAACTTTAGTTTGACGAGCAAACACTTTGGTCACTTGGCTACCCCACCACCTCTTAGCCATTTTGATCCCCATTTTAATCAACAAATATAACAAAAAAGCAAGAAGACAGGATTTTGTGGAGAACGAACCCTTCAGCTTGTGAATTCCTGTCCACAACTGAGACAAGGTCGCCATCATACAAACCTGGCAGTTTCCTTCCACTCCATCTCATCGCCATGGAAAAATAGTTCGGCCATCTCACAGAAGAGGTCGTGGGCACGATGTTCTTCATCCTCTTCCTCCTCACCGAGGATGTACTGGACTCGCTGGGAGGGGGGCGTGGCTGTCAGGGGCACAGAGGACGCATTAGTGAAGGAACATGTGAAGATTCCATAGAAACCTGATGGACTTTCTGCAGACGTCACATACCATGAAGTTCATGTACAGCATAATGTCAACAGGACCTGTTTCAGAGTACTCCTGAAATGTTACTCTTACTCCAATAACTGTTGCTGTGTTTCTTTTCAAGATGTTATAAACCAATCTGAACCCTGTATAATATTAATCAAAAGTCCAAGAAAGAGAACACCTTTCCATCAAGAATTTTCCATCGAATCTTTTGAAATACTGAAACTGAGGGATATATCGTAAGCACAAGTAACTATGGATGTCGAATAGAATTACACCAACAGATGGGACATAGCTCAAGGATGAAGTCATTTTCTCAAAATATGAAAGAAACTGAGAGAGACAGATTGGTTGCTGTGAATTTAAAGACGCAAGAAACAAATTACCTGTTACACTTGTGATGAAAGAAAAAATTGAATAGTTTATAAAAGTCTCTTTCTTGGCTCAAATATTTATTTCCAAATCTCATTTATCAGAAGGTCACATATTCCACTACATCTGTCACAGTACAACAGAGAACTGGGATGTGCTGGTATCACTGGGACATGATGAACAAAGGTCAAGGACAGAGGCCAATCCAAGGTCAAGCGGCCATCCAAGGTCAGACATAGCCTCAATTCATGGAACTGATATTTTCATGAAATTTGTTTGTCACTTGTTACCTCGTGTTTGTTGCAGGCAAAGTTTGGAAACAATATTAATTGGGTGTTGCACAGTATGGTTGGAAACACGTCAGACTCACACAAAATTTCAGTGTTTAAGTGGATAAATGAACAGATAGTTGAAAACACAGAACCAATGATGCCATATACCAGCATAAAACATTTCATTTCATTGTTATCATTGATCAAATATCAACATCATAGCCTACAGTCTGTAATAAACAATTTTGAGTCCAAACTGCAAAAAGAAACTTTACAAGACAAGTGGCTCAATTCACAGACTACCATCAGCCATATTCCAGCTTGAAAAAGGCAGTCTGCACAGAACTATCTTAGCAGGACTGACTGACTGACTGAGCTTGATTTTTCGCCGCTTTTAGCAATATTCCAGCAACATCGCGGTGGGGGATACTTGAAATGGGCTTCACACATTGTACCCATCTGGGGACTAGAACCCGGGTCTTCAGCATGACGAGCCAACGCTTTAACCACTAGACCACCCCACTGCCCCTATCTTAGCAGGAGCAGATACACCAATTGTGTGAGCTATTTTCCAAGCAGTTGAAGGAAAAAAAGACACAAAAATTGCCAGGTTATACTTGAATCTTGACCTTTTTGTTGATCCATCAATACCTTGACACCATTGTTAACATTGTCACAATATGGCTGAAATATTGCCGATGTGACGTTAAATATTAACTCACTCACTCATTGTTAACAAAGGCCATAAATCTTGCGTTTCCACAGAACAGTCACATGGAAATATATCATTGATTATCAGACAGTGATAACATTATTGTCACAACAAATGTCTTAAATTAGGACATCTAACAGTGAGATAGATATTGAGATTGTTATTCCACCACCAGAAATTCTATTATTACACTACACAAAGTGTTAACCATGACACCCATTGTCCTACTATATAGTGTTCCCTGATCACAGAGTTCAAAGGTTTGTTAATGGTCAAACTGATCACACAGCAACATTCTTTAATAAACCCATTGTGAAAAACAGTGACTTTCCCCCAAAAATGAAAATGACTGAGATGAAATAAATACTGCTCTAGAGTGGATCTTTAAGTTGTCCAAACTTCTAGAAAAAGCATTCTCAATGTTTTTAAGTCATTGTTTGGGAATAAATCTGCAAAACCCATTTGATTGTATATTCACGTTAACCCATCTTAGCTGCAGCTTGCCATCCATTAACAAAGGAGATAAAGTTAGCCCACGATATGGATATTACAAAGTGAAAATACAGGCTGAAATAGATACCATGAATCTAAAACCTCTAAAATAATCGTATGGATGAAGTATTTTATTGATATTTATCACCAGCCCGAACTTTCACTACATATATACTTCTTGATATGTTAATACAACCACGACACTCCTTTTGAAACAAGAAAATGCATCTGAAATTTTAAAACAGAATTTCTTATACATACATCAAGGAACAAAACTGACTTAACATTATGATTACTTCACAGGTAGGTATACACTGTTCTTGCTTCACCTATAAACACATTTACTTCAGATGTATGAGTACACTACATTCACTGGTGAATACAGGCTGGGCTAATACAAGAGTAGTGTTGATGTGTCTCTTATTTCAGCTGACTAATGAAATGAGGTTGTGTGTAAGCCATGGAAGTCAAATGAGAGCTATAGGGGTAAGGTGAGGGAGTTGTAAGGTAAGGTGAGGTGTAAGGTAAGGTAAGGTAAGGTAAGGTAAGGTAAGGTAAGGTAAGGTAAGGGTTAGAGTAAGGTAAGGTAAGGGTAAGGAGTTAGAGGATAAGGTAAGGTAAGGTAAGGTAAGGGTTAGAGGTAAGGTAAGGTAAGGTAAGGTAAGGAGTTAGAGGATAAGGTAAGATAAGGTAAGGAGTTAGAGGATAAGGTAAGATAAGGTAAGGAGTTAGAGGGTAAGGTAAGGTAAGGAGTTAGAGGGTAAGGTAAGGGTAAGGAGTTAGAGGGTAAGGTAAGGTAAGGTAAGGAGTTAGAGGGTAAGGTAAGGTAAGGAGTTAGAGGGTAAGGTAAGGTAAGGAGTTAGAGGGTAAGGTAAGGTAAGGATTAGAGGGTAAGGAAAAAGGTAAGGTAAGGTAAGGAGTTAGGTAAGGTAAGGAGTTAGAGGGTAAGGTAAGGTAAGGAGTTAGAGGGTAAGGTAAGGTAAGGTAAGGTAAGGAATTAGAGGGTAAGGTAAGGTAAGGCGTTAGAGGGTAAGGTAAGGTAAGGAGTTCGAGGGTAAGGTAAGGTAAGGAGTTCGAGGGTAAGGTAAGGTAAGGAGTAAGAGGGTAAGGTAAGGTAAGGAGTTAGAGGGTAAGGTAAGGTAAGGAGTTAGAGAGTAAGGTAAGGTAAGGTTGAGGGTAAGGGTGAAGGTACTATAAGGTACTTGTCAATACTAGTGAATACCAAGGCAAGATAACAACAAGTACTATCTGTCTCTGGACAGATGCTCTATGCATGTGGTCATTCAGGGGAGATGATGATGGAACATGGGGTATCCAAACCTGTGAAGTGTTGAGATCATTAATTGGACTTTTTGTCAATTCCTTTCAAAATATTCAAATGCATTTTCTTAATTTTCCCCAATTAATGTTGTTTTAAAACTCAAAATAAAAGAAAATAAACAATACAAACTAACACACAACATTGGGTGATACTACTCATACCAAATGAAACTTTTCTCAGCAAAGCTGTGAACAAAATATTACAAATAAATTGAATTATGGGACAGAGCATGTTGAAACAACTGCAGCACACTGTGGTGGTCACCTAAAATCAAGGGAAACATGTATATTCAGAACATGATCGCACTAGACTACTCCACAGGTTTCATGAACTGAATGCATTACTTCATATCTCACATTTTAGTAAACTGCAAATTAATTAGATGCTTGATTGGCATTTATTAATTATTATTATTATTATTATTATTGAATGTTTCTTTAATTCATAAAAATTTGGAAAATTATTTGTTTGTCTTAATACATTAAAAATTATGATAGGTAACACGAGTTAAATTTTCGCCGATGTGTACTGAACTGATTATAAAAATTTCAACAAATCCACAATGTCGTTAATGATGCAAATATATCGTTAAGCTGTTACATTAAGTAAGGATTAAAAAAGCGTGTTTTTCCTCAAGTCCCACATCATACAGCTTAATGAACATATCTGTTGTTGCTGTATGTTAATGCGGACATCCCTGAAGGAGCACTACTATAGGCATGTGTTATATATAAAGTGGCTGAATGAGACTTCCAAGCTGTGACAAGCATTAATTTGGCTCTGCTGACTTTTATCGGAGCAGACAAACGGACACTGACAGTTGGAGCACTAGTCTGCAGTCAGGGTCAGTAAACATTCAATATGTCAGATCAGAGCTCCGCAAAACGTCAAGATAATTCAAAGCTGCATGAAAGAGTGTTTTGATTAAATCACAGCTAAAATCAGATGTATATGTGAGCAAAGCCTTAAGTGGCGCAGTAGGAAGTTTTTTAATTATTGTGGTCACACATGAGAAGCATAATAACCAAAGAAGGAGAATCTGGGGTTCAAACTGGCAATTAGGGGATCTTGGTACCAGCAGTAGGACAACTAAATATTTTCAGCCAGAGTAGTAAAGAAACACACATTTTCATCATCTAACATTTTACAAGTATTAGATATTGCACAGCTTCAACACTAGGTAATTTCTCAATATTCTGATTCTTTCAGAAAGAATACAAGAATTCTCACTAAATTTTGACATGTTTCCAGGTGCAATTTAATACACTTTCAACCAAACCAAAAATGCACACTTACTTTGATGAACACAATGGGATGAACACACAAAGCAAAGTTTTTGTCAAAGAAACAAAAGTTCTACATGGAGTTAGGGTTGGGTGAAAGTGACAGACAAGGCTCGAGTTAACTCCCCTTGACAACATCTTGAAGGTAACCATACATTATTTATGGATGACAGACTTGCACATTTATGAGAAAATATTAACAAACAACAATTAAATGTGAAGTGTGAAATTGAAAACACAACACCGTTGATTGATGATGTTAAACTATTCAAAAATTTGAAAAAAACATGCACACTCAGAAACAAGGTATAGAAAATGAATATATATTGGGTTAAAACACAGACAGGTCTCTTTATTGCAGCAATAACAACTATACACAGCCAATAGTCTAACAACCCTTTCAATCCTCAGGTAAGCAAGCCGACTTGCTTTAATTCTCTTCAAAATAGGCCAAATTTGATCATTAATTGGTAACAAACATATATTTTTCTAGAAGCATATTCGTAACGCATATATCCTTATATCTCATCATTCAAACAAAAGGAAAAAAAGGGGCATAATTTGTCTTCCATCATAAAATTTTTCAAGAATTCCCTTTCCATGTGTTTAAAGATTGTTTTCCAAGACCTAAAACTTGTTCGAAATAAAAATTAAATTAGCAATTAAAGATCGTGAAGCAGATTTTCAAACACTTTCTGTGCGGCAATACTTACCAAATGTACCCCTAATACCCTACTGCGCCAGTGAGCTATAGTCATCAAAGGGTTAACTACGACTAATAAGCTCTGTGCTATGTAATGCCACTGTCACAACAGTACATTGAGACAAATCTAGAATCGTTTACGTGCACCAATTACCTGACTTTGTAATGTCATTTTCAACATCAGGTTCTTTTCACAATGAAAGAAAAGTAAAGTTCATTCAGTAACAACAACCGACCAGCATTGTTAATCGCCTGGATGCCAAAGCTCAATTTTGTCATTGAAAACAGACATACAGTCGATGTTGATTTGAACACTTCAGCCTAAAGAGTTTCATAATCTCAAAGTCAAGAATACAAATTGACCAATTTGGCCACACATTGTCTTTATGTTGAAGTTCTTTCTTGTTTGCCACACTCATATTGGTGGGAATAGTGTAAGCACCACATATTTGGGTGGGGTCTGGTCTGTTGACATTGCATGTTGGCATCAAACTACCAACCTTCTTAACTCTAGGCAGGTACTCTACCCACTACACCATGGAATCTTAAGGAGACTTAACAGGAGGAACTCAAAGAAACCCAGGGTTCCTTTAATTCAAACAATGGCAATGAGGTACTGGGTACCCAAGCAGTTGAGGCATCATTGATGCCATGTAGAGTTGTGTCCCTTGCCAGGATGTGCATTATGGTCAAAATGACTCAGGAGCATCAATCTGCTGTGTATTGTATCCCTGTTTCTCACAGAAGTATGCCCAAAACATCTTCTGTGATTTCCAAGGTATTTGGGAGGCCGAATGAATAAAAGTTTGAGAGAGTGAGTGAGTGAGTATTGTATTACACTGCTTTTAGCAATATTCAAGCCATATCAGGGCAAAGGACTTTAGAAATGGGCATCACACTTTGAAACCATATGGGGAATGGAACATAGGTTTTTGGACCGGCGAGCAAGTGCTTTAACTACTGGACTACCTGACTGCCCAGTACAAAATTCAGAGTATCTCTGTGTATATTGTATATGGCCAAAGACTCCACAAAGATTTCCAGGGTATTTGGCGATGCCTGTGTATAGGAATAGTCTGCCTTAATTACATAACAGTGTGGGCTTGATATAGAGCTCTTATATCATATTTCAATATTACCCAAAAGGTGGACTGATATAATAGGCTTTTTATGAGACCCTTCATCATGTTATACAATCATTATCGGGAAGCTGTCATGTTCAAAACCTTCTGCATCTAAATATATCGGTAATCCACAATGACGTCACAGATAACGGAACTGACTGGCAAACAGAATGGATCATTTGGTAAATCAAAAATAATTAGAGGGTTAACAATTTGACATCCAGGGGATTAAACCCCAAAAGTAATCATATAAGGCTATCTCATATTGTTTTTCAAAAACATAACACCTTCTTAAGACTGAAATGAATAGAAGTAGATTAATTATAGAAATTTTAAAATACCTTGACATCAAATTACTGATGCTCACCTGACTCTTCACATTCATGATAAACTTTCGATCTAAAATTTGTTCACATATTGCTTTGTTTCAAAATAGTTATTTAACGGCATTACTATACAGAATGAGTTTTCCAACAACAGTTTAAGAAAAACACATTTGTCTTTCTTAATTACAAACTAATTGACTCAAACTGAAAGAACATATGTTCAAAGTAATTCAGACGACACACTGGATTACAAATTCTCCAGATATAAGACCTCCAAAACAAAACCTGACACTAGGACATTTTGAAGCTTCATCTGAATGATTAACTTCTGTTTGATAAGTTTTCAGTATTTACTGACCGTTCAGATACCTTCATAATTCACACACTTCTAAAGCTAAGATTCCAATTCTTAACATTCCTACATCTTTCCCAATACAAAGGCTATCTCATGCACTGTAGACACAATTTCCAACTAAAAAATAACCCATATTTCCTGCACTTTTACACCTAAAAATCCATTACTGGGTTCTGATGAAAAGAAATCACATTATAAAATACAGTAATCAACCCTAAACATGTCTTCACCGAGTTCAGTTATTAATGATTTCAACTTGTCTACCACTTAGCTGCTATGGGGTTCCATCAGGGTAAAAATCAAATCAATTTCAATTCAGCTCTGAATTTACTTCCAAAATGTCTAATTAGATAAAAATCCATTGAGTTTAACACCATTAAAGTAACACTCTTTATATGAACTTCTGCGAGTCACAGGTCATATGGTATCTTACTAATTCACAGTAAGGAGTGAATTAATTAAACAATCACTTTTCTGAAATATATAGTAAGGAATGTCATATATTGTACATGAAAACTAGCCCCCAAAATGAATCTCTTATCTTGGCATCTAGTTATATATTGTGGACACTTTCAAAGTTACATTGTCAAAAAGTCTGACACTGTCATATAAATTCCACACAATGCATGAGATATCCCCCTTTGATGCACTAGGACACTAACTAACATGTGAAGTCCTACCTATATACCAGTGCAGTGTTGCATCCAGGTTGTGCCAGCTCTGGGGGACTCTCACAAGAGGTGAGGTGAAATGGGGTTTAACATCGCTCTTAAGAAAATTTCCTCATATGACGATGTGCATGTGTGTGTGTGTGTGTGGCTGCTTGTACTAGCCCAGACCTAAGCTGGTTTTATAGTGCTAGCTCACTGAGATACCGTGCCACAGTTAAGCATGAATATGCATGTGAGGTGCAGTGAGGGAGTGAGTGGAGTTGTGTTATGTTTAATTGTTCTGCTTGTGTTGTGTTTCATTGTTCAGTGTGCCGTCTTTCATTGTTCAGTGTGTGCTGTGTTTCATTGTTCTGCATGTGCTGTTTCATTGTTCAGCGTGAGCTGTTTCATTGTTCTGCATGCGTTGTGTTTCATTGTTCTGCATGCATTGTGTTTCATTGTTCAGTGTGTGCTGTTTCATTGTTCTGCATGTGTTGTGTTTCATTGTTCAGTGTGAGCTGTTTCATTGTTCTGCATGCATTGTGTTTCATTGTTCAGTGTGAGCTGTTTCATTGTTCTGCATGCATTGTGTTTCATTGTTCTGCATGCATTGTGTTTCATTGTTCAGTGTGTGCTGCTGTTTCATTGTTCTGCATGTGTTGTGTTTCATTGTTCAGTGTGAGCTGTTTCATTGTTCTGCATGCATTGTGTTTCATTGTTCAGTGTGAGCTGTTTCATTGTTCTCTATGCATCGTGTTTCATTGTTCAGTGTGAGCTGTTTCATTGTTCTGCATGCGTTGTGTTTCATTGTTCTGCATGCATTGTGTTTCATTGTTCAGTGTGAACTGTTTCATTGTTCTGCATGCATTGTTTCATTGTTCAGTGTGAGCTGTTTCATTGTTCTGTATGCATCATGTTTCATTGTTCAGTGTGAGCTGTTTCATTGTTCTGCATGCAGTGTGTTTCATTGTTCAGTGTGAGCTGTTTCATTGGTCTGTATGCATTGTGTTTCATTGTTCTGCATGCATTGTGTTTCATTGGTCTGTATGCATTGTGTTTCATTGTTCTGCATGTGCTGTGTTTCATTGTTCTGCATGTGCTGTCATTGTTCATTTTTCAGTGTGTGCTGTCTTTCATTGTTCTGTATGCATCGTGTTTCATTGTTCAGTGTGAACTGTTTCATTGTTCTGTATGCATCGTGTTTCATTGTTCAGTGTGCCTTGTTTCAGTTTTCTGCATGCATTGTATTTCATTGTTCAGCGAGAACTGTGTTTCATTGTTCTGCATGCATTGTTTCATTGTTCAGTGTTAGCTGTGTGTCACTATTCTGCATGCGTTGTGTTTCATTCTTTAGTGTGATACAAAGAGCAAGGTAGTGGAGTGGCATTGTGTTGCTTGCTAATTTATTTATATTTTGTCAGTTAGAAGCTTTGATTAATTATGACACATGGGAAATTGTTTTGGATTTTTTCTATTTCTTCTACATTTCAGGGATAACTCTGTCACTCAGGTAGCCTGGATGCAACACAGTGCATATTCTACACAGAGATGAACCTATTAATTCCCATGCACTGCCTAGCGATACACGTTAGACAAAACTATTGCAGTAAAATAAGGAGATGAAAGTTTACAAAACATACATCTGAAATATCCTGTTTCATTGAACTAACAAACGATTCCAATGATTACTTAAATCTATACATCTTTCATGCAAACTATATATGAAGAATCATTGCCCTCGATCCTCATCAGATCCCTTCAATCCAAAGGAATAGCATATAGATCATGCCTGTTAAATTGAAAAACCTTGCTATTCCAACATCCTGTTTTCTAAACAACTATTGTTATGAACAAAGCATATTCCTATCCATGATTTATAAGCCTAGAAATGTCTCAGGAAAAGAGTACAGCCAAGACTAACACAGTTTAAGTGTATCAAAAATACTTTTCTAAAAACATATTAGAAACTGCAAATTACAAACTGTTTCAGATTAAGAAGTGCTTTTTTAATCATCAATAAACATATCCCGAGGACTTACCATCAGTGATGTCTTCTTTGGGAATTCTCTGATCCCCTGGCTCTCGTCTATGGTGTTTATGATGTCTACGACGATGACGTCGTCGTGGTAACTGTAATCCAATGTACACTGACCCTTGTTTTCTGTGATCTGAAAAAACAACAACACCAAATACAATAGAACATTTATTTATCATTTCACTGTTTTTGTGAAAACAGTTATTTTTAAACATTACTAATTAATACTAATAATTACTTGACATTACCCTTTTCAAAAAAAAAATCAAAATGGATTGTGTGATAAAAGTACAAACCTATGTAAGCATGTAAACACACAAAAATCAATGCACACTGTAGATAACAAAACCAAATCAGACATCAATCCTCACATGTCCATCATGTGTGACTAAATATGATAATTTACCCATCATCAGAAGTGGTTAAAGCTGAGCATATGTAATTATTGTATGACAGGACCATAATTCAAAAATCGTTCTTTCCATAAACATTAATATCTGAAATATTTTTACTACACTGGTCTGAAGATGGAGTTGATCAAAAACATTTCGAAATTCATCATATTCATATGCTGCCAGCTAGCAATTACAGCGATTTATCTGAGATTCCAAACTAAACAGCTTGGCAGGCAAATTGGAAAGAAACCAATTTTTCATGCAAATCTGGGATTTAATAATATTCCTTTCTTAAATTCAGAAGTATTTCAACATTGCTTTCAATGCAACAATGTTGTTGTCCATTACAGTGATCTGTTATTGAAATACTTGTGTCTTCTACGAAGCCGAAACATTCAGTTATATTTTAATTCCCATTTGTGAATAGTGCTGTGGATCAGACCTCAGAGGTCCAGATAAATCCTGGAATTGTAGAACATAAACAAATATTGGCTTCATCTATCGTGTATTTCTTGTCAAAATACAGCAATTTGAAGCAAAAAGGAATGTGTGGAATTCCATTTTTAACCAAGCATGCATAAACACAACCTCAAAAGAGCAGTTTACTCACTTTACTGTTGTGCAGAGTTTGATTGAATGAGTGAGTGAGTTGGCTTTAAGGCCACTTTGAAAAGTATTTAAGTGATTTCACATTATGGCAACTTGATGTGAGGGAGTGAGTTTAGTTTTACGCTTCACTCAGCAATATTCCAGCTATATGATGGCGGTCTGTAAATAATCGAGTCTGGAACAGACAATCCAGTGATCAACAGCATGAGCATCGATCTGCGCAATTGGGAACTGATGACATGTGTCAACCAAGTCAGCGAGCCTGATCACCCGATCCCTTTAGTCGCCTCTTACGACAAGCATGGGTTACTGAAGATCAATATTCTAAGCTGGACCTTCACGGGTCAGCTTGATGTGAAATGAAGGAATAAAGTAATACAATGCTTTGACATTTACCACTTTGAAGAAATTAACAATAACATGTTGGTTGCGTTGTTGTTTAACACAGCACTCAGCAATATTCCAGTAAATATTCAAGGCTGGACCAGGCAATCCAGTGATGACATGTGTCAACCAAGTCAGTGAGCCTGACCACCCGATCCCGTTAGTCGCTTCTTACTACAAGCATGGGTTACTGAAGAAGATTCTAACCCGGATCTTCACGGGTAAACCATAACATGAATTTGGTGTGACAAAGGAAGAAACACAACCAGGTCAAACTGGGTTTTGAAAAATATTTTGACACTGTAAATGGAGAAACCTCTGACTCCGATTCCATCCATCAGCCGAACTGCTCGGCAATCGAACCACCTCAACACATCCGTTTTCAGAATTAATGGACTCCTCATGTCTTTGGACACCTTAAGTTTTTAAAAACCCATAGTCTTGTGGACAGAATGTCTGCCTAGAGGGCAGAGGGGTAACGTTGGTGTTAAGACCTCTGGATGAGTCATACCAAAAGACTGAAAAGATGGTACTTGTTGTTTCTCTGCCTGGCACTTGACATTAAGAGAACTGGTCATCTCAGGGTCAGTATGCTGTGTTTGAGGAAGATATCCATCTCAAACTGTGTTATAGTATTTCTGTTATGCAGTATATAGTCCTGTTGCCTGAAGGACACCCTTAAAAATAATATCTTTTAAATAAGAAATTTGGTTCTGAAGTACAAAATGGATGATCCGACTAACATGGCATAAAATATCAGCCATGAAATAAATTAAATCTATCCCCCTTTGTAAGAGACAACGAGCAGACAAGAGACGAGCATTTCTTACAGCTATCTGACCAATATCTAATGGTTAGAAATAGTTCAAGCCAACTGGAACTCTGCCATCTACATGGAATACAAGAACAGGGAAAATGGCATGAAAATGTATCACAAAATTGATGCGAATCTAAACACAATTTTTCACACCTCGCTATTGGTTTGAGCAAGTAAACAAATGAGCAATATTCTCACTAGATCACATCAACCTGCAAATGTCCTGACAGCTTGGGTACCAATCAATATCTTCCACCAAATCTATGCCACAATTAGTTGGAGTCACAGGCTGTTTGCAACAGAAGTATATGAATGTAGATCAGCCTATCTCATAGGAAAGCAGCTGTATTAAAATTTAAAATTTAATTAAATTTAAAATCTGCATCAAAATGGAATGTCTGTCACATAAGCATGACCACCGACCTGCCCATGATCCACCAACAGAAACTGAATATCAACAAAATCATACTGAACTACACACGTCAATCCTGTAGTTACACACGTGGTTACAGAGGGCGTGAGTGAGTTTGGTTTTACGCCGCTATTTGCAATATTCCAGCAATATCATGGCAGGGGACACCAGAAATGGGCTTCACACATTTTATCCATGTGGGGAATCAAACCCGGGTCTTCAGAATGACAAGCAAACGCTTTAACCACTAGGCTACCACACTGACCTTGTTTACCTGAATAAAGACAATACAGGTTTTCACTAATACTAGAGTAGTTAGGGTCAAACACATTCTATGGAATCTCTTTTCTGGTAATCAAAATCGAGTTAATCTCCAGACGTACATGGAATATGGTTTAGTTGTATTCGACATTGGGTACTCGTCCTGCACCCAAATTTCACTACATAAGATTTTCACTCTGAGACACTCTTTTCGAGAGAGGGGCGGTGGGGTAGCCTAGTGGTTAAAGCGTTGGCTCGTCACGCCGAAAACCCGGGTTTGATTCCCCACATGGGCACAATCTGTGAAGCCCATTTCTGGTGTCCCCCGCCGTGATATTGCTGGAATATTGCTAAAAGCGGCGTAAAACTAAACTCAGTCAGTCAGTCAGTCAGTCAGTCAGTCAGTCAGTGTTTTCGAGAGCTGTTCCCTGTATATCCTGGTGAGGGATTAATGGATCTAGTGGTTAGATTCGATAATTTAATCATGCATGTCATCATATCCTAACTGCTCATGTCATCAATATGCCAACCACTCTACTGCCTGTTCCAGATCTGACTGCATTTTAATAAAGAATTGATGCCAAGTTTCAGGACAATGAAACCTGGGTGACATGATCATCAGCATACAGAATCGTGGACTGGAAACCGGACCAAACACGAGTCTGAGCTATAACACTAGAGCAGCTCAACATATGTTGCCTGTGTGCTCATTTATCGCTGCACTCTATCAAACAGGAAATATGAGGAAAGATGTAAATGGGATGATACCTGTCACCTGCATCTGTGTGATTTATTGTCACTGAACAGTATTTCAGTTAATGTATATCCCAGCCTGAAGTACTTACCGGATGTAGGCAGGTACAACTTTAGCAGAGAAGCCAACCCTAATTTAGCCCAATTAGTATTTGGGCCAAAAACTGATGCAAAAATTAGTATTTTTTGGCAAAATTTAGTATTAACCTTTCCAAAGAATATATTCATACTTAATATATAGATATTCTAAGAACTTGTTATTAACATTGCGCTCACCTAAACCAGTAGTAAGTATCCACATATAGCTTGATACACATTGATAAAATGTGGTTGCAGTTTATTGTGTATGGTACATATGCTTTTGATAATTTAATTCAATGTATTTTCTGAAAAAATTGTACATTTTTACTGCTATCGTAAAGTCGCGTATTTTGTGTTGGTTTTTTTGTAAGGGATTTTGTAAATCATATGAGTTGGCATCTCTGCTTTAGGGTGACCAACTACTTCAGGCATTGTGTTGAGAAAAATATTTTTGTTTGTTTGCCGTTTAATGCAGCACACAGCAATATTCCACCTATGTGATGGCAGTAAATAATCAAGTTCCGGACACACAATCTGGTGATTGACATCATGAGCATCAGTTGGATACAATAGCATGCATCAGCCAGGTTAGCGAACCTGACCACTCAATCCTGTTAGTCGTCTCTTACGACAAGCATGGGGTGCTGAAGATAAATTCGAACACGGATCTTCAAGGGTCATTCAGAAATTGTGGAGCACATATGTTGAGAATATGAGATTTAAACCAACTAGAATAGGCAAGGTAAAGGGATGTAACTCTGCATAGAGTATTGCAGCAACCCCTTGGCCATGCAGCCTCTGTCCAATGAGTTAGTGAATGAGTGAGTGAGTGAGTGAGCGAGTTGGGTTTACGCCACTTTTAGCAATATTCCAGCAATATCACGGCAGGGGACACCAGAAAATGAGCTTCACACAATGTACCCATGTGAGAAATTGAACAAATAGTCTTCAGCACAACGAGCGAACACTTTAACCACTAGGCTACCCCACCGCCCCCTGTCCAGGGAGAGTAAGCTGGGTTCTAAGGCTGCTTGAAATGGTATTTATGTAATACCAAGGCAATGTTTGCCATGTTGAAAGCCACCAGCATTGTGTGCGGACAAATCAAGGATCATTATCAGGGCTAAACAGTGAACCTTGAACAACAGCTTGACCTCACTGTGCCATCTTGGACCTTATACAAATCCAAATGGTTTAGTGAGTGAGTGAGTGAGTGAAGTTTACACTGCTTTTTCCAATATTCCAGCAATATCAAGGCAAGGAACACCAGAAATGGGCTTCACACATTGCACCCACATGGGGAATCCAAACTCAGGCTTTGGCGTGACGACCAAATGCTTAAACCACTAGGCAACCCCATCGCCCCCAGATTTGGTTTAGAAGAAATGTGAGGTGCCCGCAGTCACAGGTTTGGAGTTATAAAATTCCATCAAAAAAAAGAATCACAAAAATCTACAGAAAATGATGCTTATTAGAGCCACAGATTGGGCACAGACTTTGATGTTACACTGACTTGTGATTAAAAGACATAATATGTAAAAAAAAAAGCACTAAAAAAAGCATAATTAATATAATGAGTGTTGCTTTACGCAGCTCTCGGTGGAGAGTCAAACCTGGCTTGTTGACATGACAAGCAAACACTTTAACCACTAGACTAGAATGAGTGAGTGAGTAGGGTTTTACGCCGCTTTCAGCAAATATTCCAGCAATATCACGGCAGGGGACACCAGAAATGGGCTTACAATATTGTGCCCTTGTGGGGAATCGAACCCAGGCCTTTGGTATGACAAGCAAACGCTTTCACCACTAGGCTACCCCACCACCCCCTTAAAGAATGAACCCGTGAAGGTCCGGGTTAGAATGAACCTTCAGTAACCCATGCTTGTCGTAAGAGGCGACTAGTGGGATCGGGTGGTCCGGCTCACTGGCTTGGTTGACACATGTCATCGGTTCCCAATTGCGCAGATCGATGCTCATGCTGTTGATCACTGGATTGTCTGGTCCAGACTCAATTATTCACAGACCGCCGCCATATAGCTGGAATATTGCTGAATGCAGCGTAAAACTAAACTCACTCACTCACTTAAAGAATGAAACTACAACAGCAAGATTTGACACACTTAGCAATGCACAAGCTGCCAGTCACAAGCTGTGCAGAGTTATGAGATGTTATTCACATTACTGAACTTAAAGAACACAAGGTACTCGCCCACGTCATAGAAGATTCCTTCATTTCAAGTACCCTTCACCTGAATGAAAATTTAATATTTTGGCAAGTTCCAAATTGGTATTAATCCTTGTGAGTGTTTGAAACATTCTCCACTGAAAGGCCTGTTTGCTTCCCCTGGAAGGCACAAGCAATCACCATGTTACTATTATCACACAGATGAGAAGCAATGAACGAGTGTCCTGGGACTTTCAACTCCATTCTGCCACTGGATGCAAGTCAAAGTAAAAGACCAGACTACCCTAGGGCCATGGTGCTGCCATTCTCCTGTGAAGATCAGACTTGTCTGCAAATTCATTGTTCACAGATGTATCTGGTCTAATTAGGGATATTTCTCTGAAGCATAAACCTTTTGCAAAAATGTTTAATACTTCCCCTTTCAAGTCTTGTTGTTTCATGTCTATGTTTACAACGAAAAAGAGATTGTTAATTTAAGTTTTTATGTTCTCACAAGTTTTCAAGACGGAATTGTGTTTACCTATTTTAGGCCTGCTTTTGCATTAACATTATAACAAAATTTATTGATTGAAAGTTCAGCAGAGCTATTTTCAGAAACAAAACATCTTTTACAGAATGTTTCCAAGATGGCTGCCAGGAGTTATGTCTGTGACCTTGAAGTTCATAACCTTGACCTTCGAGGTCAGTGACATATTTTCAGATATATAAAACTTGACATTTAATGAAACTAACTGTAAACGTGCCCCAAAATATACCAAGATCATGTATACAATCTTTTGATACTATTTACATAAAAAGAATTAACATGTTCATGCACACAATGACCTTGACATTTACATCAGACTGTGATGTTGCCGAAGAACTAAATTTGGAGCATAGGAGGTGGAAGAAATTTATACATAAAATAAAATATCGCTAATACTTTGAAAATCCTACTAAAGACCAAACTTTGTTTTAATATATGGACAGACCTGAGAGTTCAGCATCACTTGGGGCGTGTGATCGGACAAATGACCCCCAATCTCGTACTGGCATGGAGCCATCGATCTGTTCTCCACTGAGGCGTACTGGGGCTTGCGACATGTTTATGTGTCGAGATGTGTTGGTATGTGTCGGGGTAGATTATGACTAGAAGCTATACAACATCATAGCTCCGCTGTCTATCATCAAAGTCTGCACCTGAAACATATGGAACATTCAACATTAAACCATCTGTTGGAAGAAATACAAAGTAGCTTAATGAATTGACTGGTAAGCACTTGACCATCGTCTTTGTGGTTTAAAACTTACTTAATAGACATTCCAGCCATTTCATGATAATAACAATAATCTTTTTCAGATTAAGTGAAATCAAAAACAATTTGGCATTTTTCTATATAGTTATTCCATTTCTGTAAAAGGCAAACGTGAGTTTACCACCAATCTGTGTCAGATTACGTGGGAGGAAAGCCTGAGGTTTACCACTCTGATGAAGCGTAACAGCATCTGAACTGGCAGACTAAGAATCACACTTAGCAGGAACCTTGTGTCAAATGAACAACCACACAAGTCAAGCCTGCCAAAGGGACACAACTCTGCAGAGCAAATAACAGAACCTTCTGTCTCACATATTCATGGTTCATGCAACCCTTTACCAATGAATACAATAAGCTTGGCTTCAGAAATATAGTGTCAAGGAACCTGTATTGATCATAAATGGTATGGTTTGGGTTTTTTCATTACCGATTGGTCATTCTCCCAAATTCTTCTGCCAAACATCATGTACATTCAGGCCTCTGAGTCTCAAATGCATGTTATACATGGTTAACACAAGACATTTGCTGTTAAAGTAAGTAAAATCATATCAATATAATATGGCTTTAGCTCTGACAGTTACACTGGGGTTCATTTGTGGAAATGAAAGAACTGTCGACATTTGTCCTTGATCAAAGTCCAATCCATATTAGGCAGTCATTTTGGCTGTCCAAACCCTATTTGATTCTCAAGTACAACTATTACGAGGTACTGCGACCTAGGATTCTTGTTGGTGGCACTTCTCCAGATGAAGTAGCTCTACAGCATAACTGCATCAGTGAAGACATAAAAAGAAATGAGAACAATGCACTCCAACAAGTCTTGAGGACACACAGTCTGCTACTGACGAGAGCGTGGATTAGCACTGGTGACCTTCAGGGTAAAGTCACCTTCACGAGTATGGATGAGTACTTCTGCAGCAACTGTGCATGTAACCAACAGAACTCAGTGACTGTTACAAGCCTGTAATGAATGTCTGCGTATGTCACCTGCGTGTACTCAAGTGATTCCCAGGATGCAACACAAAATATCCCACCAAAATCCTCTCCTAAGATTTGAAATTCTCAACACCAACAGTTGGAACAATAAGGGTTAAACTCACATCTATTCCCACCAACTGGAAAGCTGATCAATGAAAATATTCAAAATGCCAACATTCCTGTTAAACCCTCCCTACAATAAGTCCACTGAACACATTGGAAAATTAATCCAGACTTACTTCTGAGGGAACGGTCATTTAAAATTCTACTGAACCATGACAGAGGTGAGGTGAGGTGAAATTGGGTTTAACGTCGTGCTTGAGAATATTTCGCTCATATGATGACGTCCCATGACAGAGCCATTTCTTATCATCATCAGGTCAACTGAAGGTATCATACAACCCTTTGTCAACATCAGTGTAAACAAATAAGTCAAAAGCAATATGTGGTATCAAAGTCAGTGGAAATGCTCCAAACATTCCCCTCTTGTTTTTATTCATTCTGGCTTAGCTTGTAAATCATCACAAGGGCCAATGTTATCGGCATAACACACAGGAACCCGTGATCAGCTTCGCGCCAACGTAGGCACTCAGCAATCAATAATACCGGGCAAAAGCTCATCCATGGCAAACTGTGGTCTCACTGTGTTACTTGGAGGTGTAATCGTCTTATATTAAACATTAATTCATCCTTGACGTGATGAAAAATACTAAGCCTTCTTTGGAACAAGTTCAGCAATTCATCTTCTGCTGAGGACTTGGTAAAACAGGCGGCAACACAAAATCACTAAAGTAGACCTGTACAATTTTGTTCTTCCATTATTCCAATTGTCATTGTTGAAAATAGTTTGAAAGAGGTGTGTTTCTAAATATTTCTTAAGTATACACTAAGGGAAACAAATAAGGAACATCACTTCACGACAGTGTTCCTTTATTTATTTTCAGATTTCCTCCCACAGCGCTATTCAAAGCTGGTGATGAAAACTGGAAAATATTGAAGGAACACTTGAATTTTCCTGTGTTTCTTTATTTGTTTCTCTCAGAATAAGTATTTTGAAGACTGGTGTCTTACCGAATGGACTCTATCAAACAAAGTAATTAATCCAGCTTACTAACATGATAACCAGTCATGCATAGACTTTATTTACAGTAACGAGAAAGGAATGTCTCCACCTGCTCTCGTACCTGTGATGAACAAACAGCATCTCTACTCTGACCTTGTACTACATGTTCATGTGAGGTGTTCAAAGGTGTTCAAGGTGTTCACTGACAACAGGTGTCCAATACAGTTCAGTTAATCCATTGTGTATTCTGTATGATTTAACAGAATATCAGCTGGATATGAACATGCAGTCCAACGGCTCAGAATCTGGAAAAATCATGGTCTATCCTAGCTTAGCATTAGCGACCATATAGGTTCTTTCAGAGGCAAATGTTCATGGCTGTTAAAGCAATTCTTACAAAAGTAAGAATGATTGTTAAATTGATTATTACAATGATTGTACATAGTTTATTTCATCGATTATTAGAACAATTGTTTTGGGGTGATTGTTAGACTGTAACTGTTGTATTGATTACTACAATTGTTACAGTGACTGTTAGACTGATTGTTACACCTGTAACTCTTACAGTGACTGTTACACTGATTGTTACACCTGTAACTCTTACAGTGACTGTTACACTGATTGTTACACCTGTAACAAAAACAGTGATTGTTATCTATTGATCATTACAACAATTGTAGTTTGTTTCGTCCAGTGTTACAATTTGTCAGAGATTCTTACAATAGAAACAGTTACTGCTATTTTCAAGATTACAAACATTAGTTACTGTTCATTACAGAGACTATTACAGTTAATGAAAAGACAAAGAAGAAATTAAAATCTAAATTAAAATCGGCTCAAGAAACTAACATTATTCAATGTGCAGTAATAAGATACATAAGACTTGAGCTTAATGCCGAGTTTACCAGAGCAGTAGATTCAATGAGGTGAAAAGTGAGCGAGTTAGTTTTACACCGCACTCAGCAATATCCATCTATTTGGCAGCGCTTTGACAGAGTGAGGGAGTGAGTTTAGTTTTACACCCCTTTTAGCAATATTCCAGCAATATCACAGCGGGGGGACACCAGAAATGGGCTTCACACATTGTACCAATGTGGGGATTCGAACCTGGGTCTTCGGCATGACGTTTGAAAAATCTGACGATGAGTTTGGTTTACAATTGGAACAGAAGTAACCACTTTCACTATTCTGCATATCTGATCTAGATTAGTTCAGAGGATAAGAGACAGTAGAAAGTTTGTATTCTGAATTTTTTTCATTTAGTCTTTTGGGAGAGCTAAATACAATAAACTTTTATCAAAGTAAAACTCCAACCCAAAATAAAACTAATCAGTGTTACTCATACAAATCAGCAAAGACAGCCTGACAAAAATATACAATCGTCATGAATTACGAGTCCTGCACTATGAAAACCCAAAGAGCAACCAAGTGCCCAAATAATAACTTCAGTAAATTGTAAAAGTATTTCTATCATTCTGTCATGGCCAAAATAGATGTAGAAACTCACAGAGAAGTGTATACACAAACACTTCCTCCAAATAACCTATCAAAGAGGTACACAGCACCGAGAATATTTATTTATTTCTCGAACCAGATTTCTAGAAACGTACCAATTTGCCTCCCATAGAACGAATCTACCAGTATGAAACGACACTAATTATAGCAATTCCACAATCGCATGCTGCCAATAAACAGTTTCCCGGTCCATAATTAATCAAACTGCAGGTATGAATCAGACGTTCACCAGGATGACCTTCTGACGTGCTTGATCAAGAGTCCTGCGCACAACTATGAGTGTGTGAGGCTTAATTCTGCAGCAATATCACTGCATGGGTGTCAAAAGTCAAACCTGGTCTTCACAGTGAAAGGCTGAAACTTGCACCACTGGGCTATCCATTCCATCCAGCATATGAGAGACTGAACTCTTTCATTCACAGTTTGGCCTTATAATTATATTAGTCATTGAGCGGCTTCATTACATAATTCAATTTCAGGGGAATGTAAGCAGTCCTTTAGGAGGTTAAGGAGTCTATGGGCCACAAAAGACCCGGAGTATTTTATATATTACAATCTACGTTTGAGGAAGAACAAGATCCAAGTTTGAATTAGTCTTCAGCAACCCATGCAAGTTGTAAGAGGCGACAAAGGAGATCAGGTGGTCAGGCTCAGACTTGGTTGACACTTCATCGTATCCTAATTGCGTAGGTTGATGCTCAAGGTGTAAATCACTGGGTTGTCTGGTTCAGACTCGATTATTTTCAGACTGCCACGATAGAGCTGGAATATTGCTGAACTAAGTGATAAACAACAAACAAAATGAGGAAGAACTAGATAGATATAGAACACCACAGTGAGTGAGTATGGTTTTAAGCCGATTTTAGCAATATTTCAGTAATATCATGGCGGCGGACACCACAAATGGGCTTCACACATTACCATGGGGAATCAAACCCAGGTCTTCAGCATCAACAAGCATATGATTTGACCACTTGGCTACCCCACTACCCATCAAACACCATAGATGTTTTCTTCTAATACAAAATACATTATGTGAGGCTGTACAGAACACCTGTTCCCAGTCTGACAGCCATGATCTACTCTTTTCAGAAAGTCCTATGTGACTGTAATGAAGGAATTGCATTTTGAAATGGAATTGTATGTTAAGATTATTCACTCTATGTACATGAGTTTTTTAAATAACCACTCTTATCAAATAAACAATATCTGAAGGCCCAGCTTCCATCAAACACAAGTAATAAGAACCTTATGATCTCAATCAATGATCTCTTTCAACTGCAAGAAGAATATTAGGTGTTAGCCCACACATTCAAAGTATGCCCACA